GCACGGCCACTCGGCGGTGGTTTATCACACAGCCATGTACCTCTTTGGGGGGCTGGTGGGGCTCACTGAACAGAGGGACTTGTGGAGGTGGGACTTCGGAAGCAGCAGCTGGTCCAGCATCAGAACAAGGTGAACTATTCTATTTGTTACACTGTAAGAGCAGAGAAAGAGAATTAATCTTACTCTTTGATACTGCGTGCGGGTGGAGAGGGAGGCGATGCCCTCTCGGTAATTGTAGGGATTGTTCAGATCAGGATGCAGTGCTGCTGCCATCCCCGGGGCTGCAGTTGGCTTTGCTCGGGAGAGCTGTTGGCAAGGCGTTGATGCAGCTGTCAGCAGTGTAATTTTGATGTCCCAATGCAGCTGTTCAGCAGTCATCCTTCTGAGTCAAAAGGAAAACAGAAGCTAAAATCAGTGCTAAGTTTCTTTTTGGTCTCCCCTTAACTGCTGGTTTCTCTTACCTTCAGCCAAGGACCTCCTCCGGTGGTAGGTCACGCTTCAATAGTCTGCAAAGACTCTATGCTGATTTTTGGTGGAGGGATTTCAAATTCCAGCCCTAATGATGACCTCTGGAGGTATAACTTCCTTACGCAGACATGGAAGAAGCTTAGTAGTACTACAAAGGGAAACTTTTCTCCTAAAATGTATCACTGCATCTTAGGAATTGGTGTGGATTTTCAAACTACCTCAGATTTGACTGCTACATGCCCCAGCCACCGCAAGAGTGAGCAGGACCACCCCCAGCTGGTGCCCGTGCTGAGGCACTCTGGCTTTTGCAGCTTCTTCCGCCCACAGCCCACGGAGCGCAGCAACGCCATCGAAATGAAAACCTTCAGCCTGCCCCTGGAGCCAGCAGAATTCCCTGCCTTCCAGACCACTTCAGAGGCAGGACTAGGCCCAAACAGAGACAGGAGCTGTTTGTCCAAGGACAAGTCTCTCCATCTGTTGGCCTGTTCGGGAGAGGCTTTTGCTGCTGCTCAGGCTGTGGGTGAAGAGAGACCTGACTGTGGGTGTGTGGCCACAGGGGGTGGGATCAGCAGCAGGACCAACACACTGCTGCTCATTGGGGGCAAACCTTTGTCCAGCTTCTCTGAGATCTCTTTCAGGCAAATGGAGTTTGATTGCTTGTGATTGCTTTGCTTGCAAAGTGAAGGAATAAATTTCCACCACCGTGGCAGTAGGTGGAAAACCAACTGCTTGCAACTGTCTTCAGCTTCCTATCAGCATGCTGGGGAAAAAAATAATTAAACCTTCTCATACTTGCTGCGAACAGATTTTTTACAATGTTAACAAAACCCGACATATATTTAAGTCACAACTTGCATATAAGTTGTGATTTCTGAGAGGAGCTTGTTGGAATGCTGCTCTTTTTGTTACTTTTCTCCTGGTCACTTCATACCCTTTCAAATTGCAATGGCCAATGCTGCCTTGAAAATCAGAGCTGCACTAACCCATACTGGCTCCACCAGATGCCTTTTCAGGGGCAAAGCTTGCTTGTTTTGCACTGGCATAAGAGAGGAATACAGTCACATTTGAGGGATTTGATTAGCCTTAACAGGAATGTTCTCCAAGATTTTAAATTCTTGAGTCTTCTTTGCACAATATATTTGCAATGTGAGATGGCCTATGACAAAGGAACCCAACAGACAAATCAGCAGCTGAATTCTAGAAGATATTCAAGCATTGTATATAACCTTGAGGAAGTGAGACAATGAGTGTCCCCTGGAAATCATCAGCAAGGACCAGAGGAAGGGCATTTTATCTGTGAGAACAAAGAATATGCCAAATGAGTGTTGGCTTTAATGACTGAACACAGAATCAAAAGGGTTTGATTTCCCACAGCGGGGTGGGGAGGGAACAGAAAGAGGAGGGCTTGACAGAATGTCACAAAACATGGGCTGTTTTGACTGGTAACTCATGTTTTAGCCCTAAAGAGATTTCTGCTTTTCCAAGCCCGTCTCTCTTTTATCACCCTATGTAGTACTTGTTACACATCTCCCCTCTGCAGTAGTAAGTTCTGAGTTCATATTGGTTTTTCTTTGCTGAAAAGAAAAAGTGCTTTTGCTGAAAAGAAAAAGTTTTGCAAGGTAATATTGTCCAGTGTTCAAAGCATTTATTTCCATAGAAGTTACTAAATACCGGCCTTCTGACAGAACAGCAGCTGTCTGTAAGAGCTGCTGGTATCTGAAATTACCTGGAACTGTAAGCTAATACTACCAAATATTTGAAAAGTTCACTTTTGAAAAATTTCATAGGAATAATGACTTACAAGTAATTTACAGGTTTCAAGAATATTTAGAGATACTTTCATCATTTCTTCACAAGTAACTGTCACATGAATTCAATAAGAAAATTATGGATGGATTTGCAAAAGCTACCTAAGTTATTTGGACCATCCGTGACCCTTGCCTGGAAACAGAGAGGATTGTAAACTGTCACATGAATTCAATAAGAAAATTATGGATGGATTTGCAAAAGCTACCTATTTGGACCATCCGTGACCCTTACCTGGAAACAGAGAGGATTGTGCACTGCTATGTGAATAAAGCCTGCTCCGTTTCCTATCACTGTGTGCTCATATTCACCTTTATGAGTCTAAAGTATGTGTTTGTATTTTCTAACTGAACAAAGAACTTACCTTTCTGACCAAGGAATGTGATTCTGCAAGCCCCAGTCACTTCCCTGCACTTCAGCCGGCTTCGAGGGCTGCCCAGGCTTTGAATTTCTCCTCCAAGAACAAGAATTTCCCAGTCTGAGGAGGTTTGTTTGGAAGGGACATCAATACAGCGACTGAGCTGAGCATGTACTCAGCACTGCAGTCTTAAATCAGTAGCTTGTTTTCCTCATGCTGACTGACATGCCTGTTTTGGCTTTATCCTGAGAGCTGCCGTAACATACAGCCTTTTATCTAGGATTGACGAGGGAAGGAAATTTAACTGGAAAGAGCAACATAAACCAGTGATTTTTCCAAGTCACGCGAAGGCCTCCTGGCAGGTAGCGGTATCCTGGGGATGTGCAAGAGCCCCAGGAAAATGCCATCCAGCCTCTGCCATTCCTTTTTTCCTGCCCCCTCAAACTCTCTTCCCTTTGGCAGCCCCACGAAGGCTTTAACATTTACTCGGAGCCAACGCAGGCGGGACGCAAGCCAGCCCAAAGGCAATGGCTTGGCACGGGCAGGAAAAGCAGCTTGGAGCGAGCCCATCTCCCCTGTTCCCTCCCCTGGGCTCTGCTCGTGTGCCAGGTCAGGCGGGGGCACAGCACTGGCGGCACCGCACCCACTCCATCACCTAAGGGATGCCAAGCCTCTCGAGGCGGCTCTAAGGGCCCCGCTGTTCCCGGCCCTGCTCAGGACACGGGGAGAGCAGGGGCTCGGGAAAGGCCTGGCTGCAGGGATGGGGCTCCGGGCTGGCTCACGGGAGGCCGAGCCGCACTTGGCCCCAGCAATGCCGTGCAAGGGGAGAGAGCCCCGAGCCTCAAGTGGGGCTCTGTGCTACAGCAGCTTTGCTGAAACCACTGGAGGCTCTTTCTCCCTTTGTGGCCCATTCCCTTGTCTTCAAAAAGCAAGGGTGAGCTCAGGCTGGAAGGGAGGGGTGTTGGGAATTGCAGTGACTGCATCCCACAGATGCCCACACGAGTGCCTGACACCTCAGTACACTCTGAGCATTCACAACCCGTATTTCAGGTACCCTCCAGTGTCCAGACCTAGGACACAATCCTTACTTACACCATTGTGACACTTCCCGATCATATCCCCTATCAAACCTTAGCCAGTGCTATCAGTTACACCAAAAGGGTTCTCGGAGCACCTCACTCCTCTTTTCCCACTGCAGGCACCTTTTCAGAGAGGCAGAAAAGAGCCTTTGTGGATGTGCTTATGATATTTCTCCATAACTGCAGCAGTTAATAAGAATTCATCCCAGGCCAAGTGAGGGACCAAAAGCTGCTGCCATCTGAAAGCTCGGTGGTGGCCTGCATGAAATAATGAATGGAATTACTCCAGCTAGTGGCAAATATTTAGAAACAAAACACACCACACCATTTTTGGCTGGGACTGAAGGGGCTGCCATTGAAGTTGGCTGTTTAGAATGTCTCTGAAAAGGAGGGAACCTTGCTCATATCTGATATGATCAAAGAAATTCAGTCCATAGAACAAAAGCAAAAGGATGCAGCATTCTTGGCAACCTCATCTGAGACATAAGATGTGCTGTTGTATCATAGATTGTACATAAGGGAACAAATTGATCAGCGCTAAACATCTCAACAAATTAATTGTTTTAATTGACATTTGGTTTCTAAATATTAAAATGCATGAATGGCAGAAATATTATCTTCTAAATTGCAGATATTCAAAGAAGGTTTTTTTCAGTTAATAATAGAAAAAACCAAAGGTTTCATTGTTTTGAGTTGCAAGTGGATTTGAAGAACAATTCAGTGATTTATCAGTCGGACCACAGGTTGCTCACCCAACAAATTATGCCACAAGAGAAATTATTTCCTAAAAGCTTAGTCATTAGGATGGAGTAATTTCTGTTCCTTTTGATACTTTCCAAATAGTTTTTGAGAAACAAAGATGATCAAAGAGTTTAGGTGCCCTCTGCTGCCATCTTTAGCATTTACCCGAAGTCATGGCTTGGTAGTAAACAGTTCCCTTTGAACACTCATTAGTGCTGCTGCACTTGAGAACAGTGAGGGTGCTTGGTTAACTGGCCTGCACTGGAATCACACCAGCAGCTCGGGCTCCCCTTCTGGGCACACGCCTGCGACTGATTTTTCAAAGGCACTGGACACCTGACAGTCCTCCTGGGCAATCTCAGCTCTGCTGGAAAAAAGGCATTTAATTCTTTAGCATCTACCTGCAAGCTTTGGTGCTGTCCTAAGTTACACTTTAACTGCCAAGAGGCTGAGTTTAGAGCAGCAACCCGGTGTCCCCAGCCCCAGCTGACTCCCTCTGAGAGCTGTGCTGGTGTGACACAGGGGGCCCAAAGATGACTCTGCAAGACTTTTGCACTGACATGGTGTATTTAAGACAAAACTACAGTACAAACATTCCAAGACTGGGTTGAGTGGACTACAGATCTACTTGTTCCCATGTACAGTTTCAATACAGATCTCAGTGCAGTGCCTAAGACAGTTCATATGTCACCAGTGTTGTGAAACAAAAGCAAGAGGGTGCACTTCATTTTATAAAAAACCCAACAAATAAATTATACATTGAGAGCTATTGCCAAGCTTTACATATAAAAAGTAAAAATACAGTAGTTAGTGCGGCTTTAACAAAACAAATCTAGCTAAAAAAATATTCTTATATACCTTAAAAATAAGTTTGTCCAGTTCTATAGGTAGGGGTGGTGTGTGTGTTTATGGAGCAGAGTGCTCAAGCCAAGCAGTCAAAAGGAGGTGAATTCTGCAGGAGAATCCTGTGGGTGTGGCAGCGCTGCCGGCAGAGCCGGCTCCTCAGGCCAGCAGCAACACGGAGCCACGCGTGACAGCGAGCCGGGGCTGGCTGTGGGGGCTGTGCTGAGCCCCTGCCCGGAGCCCCTGCAGCTCTGCCCCTGCCCTGCACCCATCTGCGCTGCCAACACCCGGAGCAAACGCACCCGGATCACACCTGTGTCACTGGAAGGCCATTAGGATATACTGGTGTGTCTTTTGGTTGAGAAGTTATGATTGTCCAGCTGCACTTGAAAGCTGTGACATTACAGTGTCTAACAGCTACATAAATATATATATGTATGTATATAGATACTACAGCTTCCTAAACTCAGAAACACTATGTGCCCAGATAGAGCTTTAGATGCTAGCTGGCTGCTAGCTGCTATCACTTCACCAGTAGATTTGGGTTGTACCAGAATTTGTTCACAATGTGAAAAATACATCCAGTGCTGTTTGTGAAGGACACACTCATCCCAACAGTATGTCTTTGCTTCATGAAATGAGAAGGAAGGAGCAGGGTGCAGACAAAGGGAGAGTAGGCAAGGACTGCAGTTTGCATAGAGACCCACACACAGCTGCACTGTTCACCTGAGCTGCTCTAACAGGGCTGCAAATTTTCTTGCCAAAGTTGCATCCAAAAAATTGTCCAAAACTGTCTTACATAGCCATCTGTCTTTGACAAAGTATAAGAAAAAATTAATCTTAAAATCAAATACATTCAAGCTAATTCATTAACCATGACTGATTAACAGGTAAGTAGGCAATTTATGTCCTATAAATTACCTAGTATTAAACTCTATTACTACTGAACTAAAGAAGAGATTCCCTTAATTCTGGTGTAAGAAAGCCTCAACTCCCACATTTTAATGCCCATTTCCTAAGCCTGTAAATGCATGCAGCACATACAGACTGATGGTCTTAAATGGGTGAGACTGAAATGCATCTCTCTCAGGTTAATCAGTTTGAGTAAGGGCAGGGATGCTGTTATTATAAACACCAAGATTTCTTTAAAACCTTTTACTCCAATCACAGAATGTGACTGGAGTAAAATCACTTCTACTTTCAGATGCAATCACTTAGCATTCATTCATTCATTCCTGTCAACTCTTACGGCTTTTCAGTGGTTGGCAGACCTGCCAACATCCTGACACCAGATTCACACAAGAGCTTTATTTATAAATCTCTTTAAATAAATACCAAAAAATAGACTTTAAGAACATGCTTGGACCCTATAGCCAATCAATCAATAGTATAGCAATTGGAGGAAAATCCTTTTTTCTCAGTAGCACACAGGCATTAACTGATACTTTATAACACTAACTGTACGAACTATTATCCCTATTTGTGATTGATAAAATGCAGGTGATGAGGAATGCTATATTACCTGTTAGGCACTCATGTTGTAACACAGTACTTGTAGCTGCAAACCAGAACAGTGATGCCAAACTGCAGGATGCTCAGATCACAAACCTGTGTCACCTTGGTCTCACCAGGCTCCCTACATAAGCAATGATTTGGTTAGATAAGTAAGCTACATCAAGTAAATGGAGTGAATAGTTGCTCCAAGTACCAGATTTTGTGGGGAAGAGTTGGGTTTGTAGCCCCAAATCTATAAGATATTGCAAGTTCCCAATTTACCAGTCGAAATGTTTGCATTTTTATGTTAAGTTTCAAATATTAGTCCTCTGAAAATTGAGGAAAGCCTCGCCCCTTTGAAGTTTCTCTGTGTGTGCATGTGTGTAATTACAACATTCCCCTCCAAACACTGCTATCATGACCATACTGAAATAACAGTTGGTTATTTAGAACCATTTAGATTTCAGGGGACACACTCACCACACGCTATTTACTTGTTATTTGCTGTGATGGCTTGGGAGGAATCTAAGGATGGTATTCAACACACAGTGCTGGAAAACTGTAAACTTCTGTTATTCCAGTTTTGGGAAGGATTCAAGCTGACAGTTCGCAGAGCTCCTGAACCCAACAAGAAGAGCCAAATATCAAACATGCCTAAGAAAATGCTACTGCATTCTGTCTATTTACAAACCCAACACATGTAGCTGGTGAATGCCAGCTCAGCTGCTGAGCAAACAGATGAATAGCAAGTGCCAAGTTTCCACACACAGTCCTGGCTTTGTGCAGAAAGCAGACTGTTGCAGCCATTGCTTCCCTTTTCCTGCAGGAACTTTGCTGGCAACTGCATTATTAATCCAGACTAAGACATTTGATATTCAAATCAGGAATCTTCTGCGTTTTAATAAGCAGTAAGGCTCAGACTTAAAAGTATAAAAAAAGCCAATAGTCAACTGGAAGTATGAAGCACGGAAGCAATGAGAGAGCTGAAGGGCTGGGAGCAGGAATCCTGTGCCTGGCTGGGGCAGTGGCTCCGCTCATCCTGCAGCGAGGGAGCAGGACCTGCCCTGTGCTGCTCTGGTGCTGGCTGGAGAGGCACCTGCAGCACCTGCCACCAATCCTGAAATCCTGGTTCTTGAGGCAATGGCTGCAAATCACTGCCTGCAGAGTCACTCTGGGACGTCAGTCCTAGGCGCTTTCTCTGGTCCCTACATTCCTCTTTTAAGGCCTCGGGGTTTTGAGAAGTGGCAGTGGGTCACAAAATACACATAGCTTCTCCCTTAGCACTCACTCAGCATCTTGCAAAGAAAAGCACAAGAGCAACAGCAGCATGAACACCTTGGTCTGAATGCAGCAGCCCCACTGGGCCCAGCTTACTTGCACAACCCACAGTGGTTTGGTCCAAACCTGTGTTTGCACTGAGACACGTGCACACAGCCAGTGGGCAGAAATGAAGTTGTGCATACAGGATCCAGAATCAATTTTCACATTTAAGTTTGTTTCTAAGAATCACATGCATGTAAGTATCTACAAACAGCAGCACTATGTAGAAAATGCCCTCCAACCTCAGTCAGATGTTCAAACCTCTTCCTCAGAAAGAAAGATCACAGTTGTTCCATCTGTGCTTCCCTGTTAGATGTGGGATTCATCACTCTTTGTTTCTCCTCCCTCTGACTCTGCATTACTTTTTACACAGGCTATATCATCAGGGTCCATGTGATGACACTGCTGCCCAGAGCTCAAATGAGCTCTGAACTCTATGTACTGTACCCCAAACTTCACCTGAGCACCCAAAGACCTCCACCTGCTCTGTGCAGTGTGTGCTCTCACCTGCCTTCTACAGACAAGTGAATTGCTTACATGAATTTTTCATCCTTTTTTCCTATTTTCACCCTAGTCTTTCTATTATTTGTTCCACATACAACTATTAGGTGACACTTGGAACAGGACTGAAAGTGGTATTAAAAACTGATCTAGTTGTACCCTCATGCTGCAAAACTACCTGGTAAGTATTCCTTAAGCACAGCATCTGGAAAAAACACCCAGAAAGAGCATGAAGAGAAACAAAATTCTTTTCCTTTCTAGTCCAAGATGACAACAATACTAATCAATAAGCAATTCCTGAAGCAAGCTGCCCTCACACCTTCACTGCTTTGGCTTTTAAAACATACAGATCTCTAGTCTAAAATGCATGTATTTGAATAATGTAGGAAATGAAAATATCAGTATAATATGTATTCTGCTGTATTCTGCTAATGCTACAAGCTGTTTGGCAGGTAATTTGCATTTTCCTGGTTGCAGTGAGCAGCAGCCCAAATCCAGTCTACATAGCTGGTCACTGATGGACTAGATTTTCATACTTTCCAGGTACTGTAACAGGGTGTGCAAGGATTATTAAGGGGTTAAGGCCAAAAAGGAGAGTATGTATTGGTGAAACGAAGGAAAACCAGAGAGAACAATGACACAGAAGAAAATGTCCTTGGCTGTACGGGAGGGACAGTGACCACCATGGAGAGCCCTGTGCAGGGCACGGCCACGAGGTGGCCCTGCGAGCTCTCCTCATCCCTGCGATGTTCATCATTCCGCAGCCAGCAGGGCACAGCTCACATCCCACAGCTCTGCGACAGCTTCCAGCACCAGAGCCAGCTCAGGGTAAGGAACAATCAACCCAGCACGAGCAGAACACAACTGTTTTCCTCTCCTCAGTTCAGAACTAGCTCCAGTGTGACATTTTGTTCCTCCCAAAGGAGAAGATCAAATGCGCATGTGGTTTTATATCCCAGCTCAGGCTGCAGTTCCAGTTAGATTGTGAAAAATGCAGAAGTCTCTTCCTGGATCCTGGCAAACCAGCTGGCTGTCTGACTCCTGCTCAGCACGAGTTTGATCTCAAGCAAGTCTTTTGGAAGGATCCCTTGGAGATATGTCAGAAGATTTGAGTTTTTACAAGGTGAGAGTTTCAGAGACTCCTTCTTCTAGAGTTCAGTGGTGAGTAAACATTTTGTTCTTATTGTAGCATCCTCAGTAACTGGGCTAAAAGTGGGGGGAAAAAATAAGGCTCTGTAAATACACTCCCCTCCAAAAAGGTCTGCCATGATGGATTACAAGAGAAGAGTATTGCTTCAAAGAGCTTTCATGGCTGCTCACCCTGTAACTTAATGAGACCAACAGACAAACCTTTCTAATGGACAACTGCAGCAGAGCAAACTAGATGAAATGTAAACAATGCAGCACCACTGCCATTCTTTAAAGATGGTCACTGCAAGGCCTGATCATCACTACCTCATCAGCATGGCAGAATGGAACAGCAAGGGAAAAGGCTTCTGCCAGCTGGGTTTTCTGACATCCTTATATCCTGGAATTAAGTGGGGGGCATCCCTCTCCACCCCCACCAATCCTCTGGCAGGTACTGAAACGCTGCAAAGAGATTTCTCAGGAAATTTTTCTGTATCATAACTTTAGTCTAGCATCAGAACATGTGAGCAGATAAGGGAAGAAACTGAAGTGAAATTATAACATACACACATCCATTTATTTGTCATACTTGAAATGCTATAAACTGAGACAGAGCTACAGTTTTGTAGCACAGCAGAACAAGGCATTGTGTCTAAAGGGCCGCTGTAACTATGCCAGTGGAAGCAGTAAGAGTGCCCACACAGACCTCACCTCACTTCGGGTACCTGCTGGGATGGTGTCAGCCCAGCTGAGGACAGCAGGGTCTCCGTGCTGCCTTTCACTGCCTTCAAAGATAAGGCAACATTATTTCCCAAAGGCCCGTTGGAAATCAGTCCAGTCTGAATGGGGAAGAATGAAATAAGAAACTCAAATACCAGCCAGGACAAGACAAGCTAACTTGTCAATATGATTTACGTATAAATGGCAAAAATAGAATTCATTATAACTCCAGCCTGAGCTTTACTAAATACAAATTCTTTAAGAAATTTAATGGCATTTACCTTAGTACAATACAATAAAAATTAAGTTTATTAACAGGGTATGTTGTCTGATTTACTCCAGCTGAATTAGTTTGCTTTGTTTTTGGTCTGGTACATTACTTTATAGACCTTCAAACTATTAAAAATTATTGTATTTTATTATTTAACTTGAACTCCTGTTCCTTAATCATGACAAAAGCTTTTGCTTTTTTCTTTAAGAAACAGTCAAGTAACTCACTGGCACTATCCACCTCGGTGTTAAAATGGGGTGAGAAGACACCTACAAAAAGCAAACAAAAACTCAATTAAAAGGTTGAAAGTAGTTAAGAAACGTCAAACTAGCATACCTCCCAAAACAATCCCAGATATTTGCCCCTCGTTAGCCTTTGAACCACGCTAGTGATTAGCTGGAGATGTGGCACCCACCGAGCACAGAGCCAGACACTCACTGGAAGCAGTTTCAACTCAGCGCTCCCTTCCAAAGGAAAGAATCAACCATCTTTTAGTGCTTTGTGGACAACCTTAACCCAGAGCACACTACTGTGAAGAGTTTAAACGCCCTCCTTCTTCCCCCTTTCTCTTGGTGCGTAGAATGTAACTCATTTTTGCCAGCACAGATTATAAGAGACTTCTTTTTATCTACATAAAAGGCTTGGTTAGTATTACAAGTTTACTGTTCAAGTATTTGTGTGTATATCTATATATATAGATATATATATACACAGACATATACACAAGTACATACATCTTCAAAATATAATTTCTGAATTATGTATTACTGAACCCTTATGTATCCCCAAAAGTGTGAGAAGCAGGCTGGCACTTGCAGCTCTACTAACACAGTACTAGAACTTCCTGTGGCACACATACAGGTTCACTCTTCAGGTTCCTTCATTTCCCCTGCAAAGCTGTCAAGTCTACACCCTACACCCTGCAGGGGGGGGCCATGTGAGCAGTGATCCCTGTCCATCACTTCTTTCCACTGCCAGAGATCCAAGCCTGGCAGACGGACACTAAAGCCAGAGGAGAGTCCATGAGTAAAAATCAGTTACGTGCAAAGGAAGAAGTTTGGGTTTGAAATGCATTTACCCGAGGTGTGGCTTCTGTAAAGTCAATTAGATTCTCTGTCAGTGATGTTAAGGAAACGTCCTGGTCATCTGGAGTGCTCTATGGAATAAATCAGTTTTGAATTGAATTCCCAGTAGTAACCACATAGGTCCACTGAATACTCTAGTGGCTTCCTGAGTTATGGACCAGTATCTTTAATGACCACCACTTTTTATCAGAGTTATTTTTTCATATCTTTCCATTTGATCCTTATTAATAGCCTTTGATTTCCCTTATTCTCATTAACGTACTGGAAACAACATCATTGCCACTGTAAGCAAGCAGTGAAACTGTCCCTTCCCCTCTGCGAAAGTGGGGTACTGCACCATTCAAAAGGTCAGCAAGGTCTGGAGTGGGGTGTTTGAACTCTGTGAAATTTATGATTATTCAGTGGAATCAACTATATAATACTGGTTTAGAGGCCCAACAGCTACAGGGCAAGGTGTTTTGGTCATCCAGAACAACCTGTCAGTCTGCTCAAGTAAAGGCAGCACAGGTCCAATGCTATTGGACTCTGCTTTTCTTTTGGAGAGGGACAAAAAAAAGTTTAATCCCCGAATTTGTGCTCTTCATGGAGTCCAGTTAAAAATTACCTTAAGGTAACTAGAATATAACAAATTAATATCTAAATTTAAACTTTTCTTTCTGTGGTTCTTTTGATGGGAACTGCCTATGTCAGAATTTCATCCCTACCATCTCCTTACTGGAGCATGAAAACGTTGGGATGTAAGGGGCTCCCTCCAGTGTGAGAAAAACAACCAGCTTAGAAAAATAAGAGTTACGCCAAGAACTGGAAAGGACACGCAGAACTGGCCTTTGGAAAGATCTGTGCGGTGTCCCTGCCTGCTTCAGAAAGCACTCTCCGGCATTCCCCAGCGCCAGGCATTCACAGAGCTATGAGAGGCATGCAGCAAGGTCTGCTGGGCTTGCCTGGAGGCACCGGGAGCTCAGAATGTGACACAGAAACCTTCCAGGCTGGCAGGTGGCGATACCTTTGAAACAGCAGCCTCCTCAGCTGGAGCCAGATTAGCTGGAATTAGCAGGTCCTCATGGTTAGAGTCACCATTGTCCTCATTCAAGGTATTTCTGAAAGAGGAAAACATCCTCATTAGCACCCTGCCTGGATAGCATGGAACAGGGCTGCTTCCCAGACAGTTCAAAACCTCGACACCAGTTCCACCGAGGCAGGCAAAGACTGGTGTTTGTATGTTAATGTAAATGCCTTCCAGCTACCTCCACAGATTACTGCTCTCTCCCAGAGCTCCAGCTGCAGCTGTGCATAGACCCAACCGTATCGACGTCTTCTATCTTAAACGAGTTTCTTCAGCCCCTGTGTCTAATTTGCCTGAAGTCATTCCTGTCATCCTCTTATCTTCCTCCTTAGAGCCAGGGGCAGCAGGATGTCAGGAATCTCAGTCCTTTCAGAAGATGAGAGAGATTCCCTTACTGCTTGCAAGGATACTCACCCCGAGGCCTGGCCTACTGATTAACTGCTGCAACGGTAATTAAAAATGCATCCCTAAACCTGCTTAGATGTAGCCTAAATGCTCAGCCACTGTTCCTCATATTTTCATGCCTTTTCATCATAACCTCCACGTGGTCCCTTTACCCCAGGAACATGTTTCTCCAGAATCACTTACGGAACAAAGGTGTTTGAAGCAGGGATTGTTCTCAGCAGCTCTCTTGGATCTTGAAATACTGGACTGGTTGCTGGGGGACTGCTCTGTGATTTGCCTGACAGGATCAGGTTCCTGACACAAATCAATAAAAAAACAAAATCAGAAAACACGTACAACCTTCCATGGAAAGCTCTTCATGAATCACTTGTTACAACACAGTTTTGGGACTGCTAATGTACATTTTATTTGTATGTTTACAGTATCACCCTCTGCTCTTTGAGGTCTGCCACACGTGCATCTTCACAATGATCAAGAAGTTAGATGTTGTAATCTTTTAAATTTTTCAATGTTTGCAATCCCACTGGACTCTGCAATCATTTCATATTTAGTAATTCTCAGGAAATTGTCACTGCAGGGATTTGTATACATTTTTTTTCCTCCACTAGAAAACACCTACTGTGAACATACCCATCCCCTCCCCACAATGAAGATGTTCACATTTCAGAAATAATTAGTGATTGAAATTACTGTTGTAACAATGGTCATCAGGCATGGGAGAATAAAGAGCACCTGTATTATATTGTATATAATAAAACTTAGGAGTTAACCCTGGTTTTCATCTCAAAACCACTTCACATTCATGAAGTTAAGGTACCCTATGCAAGGCAAAATGCAATGGTGACTGAGCCACTGGCAGACCACATTAAACTGCAGATTCCCAGTTCTGTAGTGAGGTAACTACACCACGTTTCTTACAAATCTGTTGACTACCTGGCAGCAGCCTCCTGAATATTGGAATTCTTGACACCTGTCATGCTGTCATCTTTTCCAGCCTGAGAGGAAGAAATGAACAGAAACATACATTTCTGATACCTGTTTCCATCTTGTGTTAGTTCTGAGATTCACAGTAGAGCTGTGTCTCTATCCCCACAAAAAAAAGTGCTGTTTATCTACAGCTCAGGGACTTAGAAAATCAATTCCATATGACAACTTCAGTGCAGAAGTAAAAATAGCTCACCAACAAAACCCAATGAAATACTGTTATTTGCTAAGGAATCTACTACATCATGCACAAAGCCCAGTCTCAGTGACAGAATAATTGCTCGATTAGAAGGCAACTTTTGGAGGTTACCTGTCTCAATGACCTCTCAAACCAGGGCTTGCATAGAGTCTTGTCCTGTTACCTGCTGAGTATCATCAAGGACAGAAATTCCTCCTTGGGCAACCGTTCCAGTATGGAGCCATTAACACTGCGAGAAGCCCTATGCCTCGGGCAAGGCTATTGGAACACCCTTATCTGCGAGGCTCCTTCTCCAACACCAGGCAATTGAAGAGAAATAAAACATTCGAGAACGTCACAGCTCTGCTCAGTCGAGTATTTACCTTGTGCCCTGCTTCTGCCTGGGCCTTCAGGATATTGCTTTTGAGATCTGCTGGAAGCCACTTGGCTGCTACGATTGGGCTCTCGATTGCATTGTTAAGACATTTATCTGTCAACTTCACCACTTCATCCTAGACATGAAAACATCTTTATCAGAAGCAGTTTCCACACAGACAAGTCTGGGCTGAAGTTTATCAACATCTCTAAACAAGACTCTGAAGACAAAGGGGAGTCAGCAAATTCATACTGAAAGGAAAAAGAAATTTTTTCCTTTATTTTGGAACTCAGTTGTAATGTCAAGCAACACATAAAGGAAAAAAAGCACAATGCTTGAATATGGATATGCAAACTACTGTGCTAAACATACAGTGTGCAAGAAATGAAGTGCATCCTAAAACTGCAGCCTAGTTTACTGAGAGGAGATCAATATAACAGCCATTATATCATATCAGTGTAGCCTAAGTAAAAGTTTGATCATTTACTCTCAAACACAAGTTGGGAAGATTTTTAATTTAAAATCCACTTATAAGTTAGACCAAGAGTTTAATTAATGTGCTACTAACTATCTCTCCCACCACTGATTATATCAGAGCAAACTGGCAGCCAGACACATAATGAAGAGAAGTAAGAACGAGATACCTTTCACTACAGTATATTTCATTATGAGAATTTCATTTCTTAATTATAAAATGTTAATTAAGCATTCAATCTACTAATTGCTATTTGATTAGTGGCAGAAGTTAATTAGCTGAGTGAAAACTAAACCCTGTGACCTTCCTTCTGAGGGTATGACTCAGCAGGGGGAGACAGAGTCTTGCTTTCCTCACCATATGCCACGGTCTAGAGCAGGCTGATCCCCCGAGGCAAGTGCTGCAGGACTGCCCCAGCAGCGACAGTCCTGCTGCACTCCCACCTGCACCAGCTGCAGCGTGCCCAGGAGGAATTAAGCCCATTGCAGAGAGAGCAGAGCAGAGGAGTTAAAAAGAGGTGAACACCTGTCCCCTCACAGCCCTCCATCCACTCAGCTTTCTGCACTCCCTGGACACACTGCTGAGAACTTGTAGTTATTTGGTCTTTAGAGAGGGGAAAAAACATTTCCGTTTTTTGTCTCCCTCTAAATCACCTTTTGGGATATCCAAACAGGATCTTAGGAGACTATTTAAAGGAGAATCCATTCTCAAATTTTGCAATGAGCTTCACAAAACATTCAAGGGTCACTTACAACACAAAAAGCTGTGAGGACCAACAGTACTTTTAAGTACCTTTATTTTAGAGAAGTTGCTGGAATTACCAAAATGAATAATTACAACTAAATTATTATTATTTGTACAGCTGCAGCACCCACTGTGACAATCTTGAAGTCTTTACTGGACCTCACTGAAGCAGACGCCATGTGTGACACTACCTGCACAGCATTTTGAATGCATTATTCCACTAATACAATAAATCTGATCATTTTAACTGAGCACATCAGTACACTGGTGCTAGAAGTACCATTTTATTGTTTAACTTCCTCTCAGCTTCCTCCACCTGAAAAATCAATTTAATTAGGCCACTCTAGTCTATTAACAGACTCCCTACTTTTGAAAAAGCTTAGTAGTATTACAGAATATTTTAATTTAATAGAGCATAAATTTCATACCAACAAGGAAGCATTTCCGTGAATATAAATGATCCATTTTTTTCAATCCTATTTTGCGCTTGCAAAAAGCATAGGTGTCTTACAGGTTTTTTTTAATGAAAAAGCATGTAGCTAGAGGGAAAAGCATCCAGCACCTGCCAACGCCTCCAGATGTCTAATTTACAAGACATTTCAGCTGCTCACACAAAACGGTAAAGTGCTGGAGTTTGTCATTATTCCAGCTCATTAGGAATGTTTGTTGTTTCCATGGACGAGACAAACTACACTTGTACTGTGTTCTTGAATCAAAACATGGAGCTAGGCAGTGATGCAAAAAAGCAAGGAAAGATTAAAGACAGTAACAGGCATGTGATCCCAACCCTTTGTGCTTTGGAGTTCTGTTCCCAGTGCCACTAAAAATCACTTCATGCAGGAAGATGGAGCCTAATACAGGTACATTTTGAACCAACTTCCATGCATTTACAGATCACAACAAATTCAGATTAAGTAAACCCTCATGTCCTTCCATTTCTGACTCGGGAGCAGACTTTGAAGACGGGCAAACAGGGTGAACCTTTATTGTCCATTTCCCTTCAGAAGCTGATGAAAGCAGAGCGTTGGTGTATTTAAAGCTATTTGCTCTCTTTGTCAGATCTGGTCACTGCACTACTGAAAGCCGGGAAAGGACAAAGTCGCATTCTTCCATCCCAACAGATTTTGGCAGTGAGCAGCAGAGAAGAATGAAGCCATTCATTCCCTCGCTTCCTCTTTTTCTCTAGAAGAACAGTGGTAGCTAGATAAATATTTCTTTATCAGAGGAATCAATCAGGATTGATTGATTGCAAGTATAGAATTACATAAAGATGACTCTCAGGCTATCTCTACCCCCTGATGGAAAACAGTTAAAGATTTTTAATTAACAAAGCTGAAGTGAGTTGGCATATAACAATGTAATGAAGTTCAGAATGCAGCTCTGCCTTCATGAGCAGAAAGGTAACACCTTCTCCCAATGCATTTTACCAAACTTCTTATGTACTGTAACAGTATCTACATGTGCTGAAATTTCTAATCACACACGTTCAGAGACAATGCTGCAATACTGCATTCCCTCTGAAATAATAGCAAGCTCCAGGATCTAAACTTATTGCAAGGTTTTAGTGGATATATTGCAGTCCCGTGCAATTCTGCCAGAGGACAATAGCACAAATGCTTCTTTTACTAACAGATTAAGAAGAAAAGTAAGTACAGGAGAAGAGCCCACAGGTACATTTCATAACAAACACCATAAATGAAAGCTTCTATGTTTTCTAAAGCAGCCTTCAAAGGCAGGAAACAAAGTATTTTTAACAGTGACTTGTAGGTCACTCTTTTCAGGACTGGTTTCCAAACCATTAACCTTCCTCTCTGAAGGGTGTGCTCTTTGGTGCTACTGTAACCTACATGTCTTTGCAATCAGAAGCACTGGGAATTTCAAGTATGCAGAGAGTCTCTAATCTTTGTCTATCTTTTTTAAACAAACACTCTCTCAAGTGACTTCTTGGTAAACTACATCATCGGCAGAAAAGTTTTATTCTATCTTTTCTACCCTAAAAAACCCTCCAATGACCTACTCTTACATTTTCCTAATATAATTTGCACTTCCTTCTTGAAAGCTGAACTGTGTTTTACCACCTACTGGCCTACTGTTGATCCATAATTCTCTATTATGCAAATGTTCTTGCTCTCTAATCAGATTACTGTCCTCCCAGTATCTATAACCTCTGAAGTTTCTCGGCACCTTATGTGACAGCAGCTGGATGACTGTGACTGTTCTCTATTGGCAGCTGTTTGTTAGATTAGCTCATTACAGGAATCTTAGCTTGCTTATTATAAATCAGCCATGATTTAAAAACATCTGAAACAGGTTCAGGCCATTCTTTCAATGAACCAATTAAATGTCTTTCCCCTCTCTGTCTGAACTAAAGTGGAGCTCAACAGGCTAAGATATTCTTAAATCAATTGTGTTCATTTGCTTTAGTTTATGTAGAGACAGTGTTTCAGCCTAACAGGACCTACAGTCTACTGACTAATCTTCTTAGAGACCTGGTAATCTTTGTAATGCACTCACCAAGCAGAGAGGTGCACCAGGCAGCCCTGACAGCAGCCCTTAAAGGGGACATGAGCCAAGCAGCCTGCAGCACCACCCACAGCAGCAGCCTCCTCTCACATGGAGGTGGAAAACAAATGCTTAGGAGTGGGCTTAGCTCAAACACACACTGCTAAACACCTCTCCTGGCACCTGGTTCCTGTTACTATTGAGGGAGCAAGAAAAATCATAGCTGCTTCACTCGAAGTTAGATAAATCCTCAGGCCTCCCTGCAAGGGAGGATAGCCTAAACAGAGATAACATTGCCAGGTGTTCACTCTCTCTGCTTGCTCAAAACACAAAAAACTCCCAAAGCTTTTGCATCAGAGAAAGCAGAGTAATGGAGAACTAAATTTCATGTTTTAAAGTTCATGAAAAAAAACCCAGAAGAATATTCTATCTGGGGGCAGCTGTTTAATAACCAGTGAATCTATCAAAGTTCACTGCTGTTGTAAGGGAGGATTCTCTCTCTCCATCCCTTCTAGCAACACTAGTAATTTACACTATGGCCCTGGCATTTCTCTGACCCCTTCCTTGAACCTCTTTAACTCACTATTTACCAACTTCAAGAGCAAACTGAAAACCTAAAGAAACCCAGCACATCAACAAAAAGTTCAAAACAAAGGCAGGAAAAAAAAATTGTTTGCCAGTTTGCACTGAAACCTGCAATGATTCTTGGTGGTGAGAGAGGAGAGGGGGAAGCTGGGGAAGAAAGATTGAAGAGGAAGGAGGGAGAAGAGAGCCCTCACCCCGTTCAGGGCACTCAGGCTTGTACTTTGGCTCAGCTGCCAGTGAAGTGCAGCCTGACTTGTTCAGAGGGAGTTGAGAGCAGTAAATCAAACCACATCACTCCTCTTTGTGTAAACACAGAGCATTAACACCTACATCAGAGAGCAGGTACAAACTGGCTACTTAACAGGAGGGACAGATCATCAACAAACTTGACTGAAAACAAAACGTCAGAACAACCTTCTTGGAATTGAAAAATGCCAGGAAAGCAGCTCAGCCCTTCCAAAAAGAGGGTGAACTACTCAACACCATGCAGGTACTAACCTACAGATAAAGACAACTGACAAACATTTCAAGCATTTATGCCTCTTACTCCCACTGATTTTAGAAAACCTCACCAGGCTGCAAGTCTGCACACATGCACCTCTGCCCCCATCTTTATCTCACTGCCTTGTCACACACAGGTTTATATATCATACAGCATTTGTTATTACCTTTGCTATCCCCCAGTATTACTCACTCAAGTTTTGCAAACAGAGCAAGGCAAGAGGAAGACTTTTCAGAAGGATCTGCACAAAACCCAGGACGTAGCAGGGGAATGAAGTTACCTGTACATTTATGTTCACATTGGGACGCTCACTCGGCACGGGGCTGCTGCGCTCTGTCTCCAGCTGTTTCAGTTTTAGGAATGTGTCTTCAAATGCTGAAAAAGATAAAAAAGGTATCATCTTCCTAATGTTACCGTGAGTTACTTGACTTGTAACTTGCTTTATTCCTGAATACTAATTACATAATTTTGAAGCCGTGCAAAAAAGCACAGGGATGGGGGAATCTACTTGCTCAAGCTTCAGTGCAAATTTCCAACCTGCAGACTGTGTGCACCAAATGACAGCACTCTGCACTCCTGGCAGCTCATTTACCCAGCCATCCTCACAGTGAGCGAGCAAACACAGTTAATTGCTTAGATGGTTGCACTTTACTGTATGTGTGGACAAAGTCACATCCAATGAAGAACTGACTTTTCTCTTGTATCTCTGTCCTTGTTGTTCCAGTAATTGGTAAAATTGCCCTTATGCATATCATCTAAGGGAGCTTCCTAAAACAATTCCAAATTTTCGTAAGGAAACACTCTCATATCAACCTATTATTTAATCTTGATCTCACACATCATAATACGGAAAAAACTGTCAGTTTGCTTACGATCAGAGTCTGCTTTGTCTGCAGCAGTTTCCTTCGTGCCAGGAGGAGGGCAACTAACAACGTCTTCTGAATCTCCTGTTGCCAAGCCAACAACTGGATGGCCCACAGCATCATCCACACAAGTTTCTGGCAAGTCTGTGCTGTCTAGCAAATCAACAAGAGGTATGCTGCAAGGGCAGAAAGATGGGCAGAGAGATGCACAATCATGTTACCACTCTTCCTGTAACAAAAAAAAAGCTTTAACACATGCAATCTCTTTTTTCAAGCTGTCTTCTGCTGACCAGCCACAATCTAGAAAAACTGTTTCAGGTTACTAACAGACATTGGTTTTCAGCAAGCTTATGAAACACAAAAAAGGGAACATTTCATATCTGTATAAGAGCCTTCATAACAGAAGAGGTCCATGTTGCCTGCTGTGTCATCAGATAGCAGTGGAAAAATTGAAGAGAGAAGGGAAATAACTTTTATCCATGAAATACACTCTTTGGAACAAACACCTGAAGTTTTTCTAACAAACTTAAAGTACCATTTAGGATCTTTACAAGAGAAAAAGAAAAGTTAGAGGGAGGGAAGTTGGTGTCACAAAAAGCTGTTTGTGCAGCACTTCACCCAACACTGGCAAGCAGAACAGAGGGCAGAATGGTGCACTGCACAGGACTGCCCTGACACTTATGGTCAGGCATACCTAGAACCAGTTTCAGTTTTGTTAACTTAAGCAGAGCCATGAATGAAACCTTAGCAGTCAGTGTTTTAAGTGAACCACAGCATGTACTCTGTACCCTGTCAGGATCATTTGTTTCACCTCTCTTCGTTTTTGATGGAAACGTCTCCTTTTAATTTTGCCCTATAAGCTCTATATTCAGTGAATAAGGAAAAACAATTACAAAACAAAAATGATATTATGATGTTTATGTTGAGCAAGCAGTCAGGCTCTAAAGCTTGGTAACAGCTAAAGCTATCCTAACAGCAAACACAGAAACCACTGCTGCACAATACAATGGTTCATCAGACAGCCTGTGCACACAACTGCAGCTTTACTGCTGCCCAGTTCAATCAACAATCACTCCCACAGTTTGGCTGCAATATTGATTTAAGAAGAAAAATCTGTCAATCCCTTTGCAAGTCCCGTCCCAAATATGAGAACAATGATATCAAGCCCATACCCACCACAGCAGAACAGAACCTACCCTCAAGCACAGACAAGAAACATTTTCTACTTGACAGTTTAGACCAGCTTCTCCCTTACCACTACCAGGTTAGTGCCTCCTAACACTCTGGAAACCTGGAAGCAATTCCCTATTGTCACTACAGAGGCTGCAGGAAAAAACTCCTTCCCCTCCAGCTCAAGCACACAAAGAATTCTTTCAATGTTAAATATATTCCTCTGAATCAGATTACAGGATATCACTGTTCTAGTGCTAATAATGTACAAATCATTTTAAGTCAATTAATCGCTGTGAGGCAAATTGAGGCCACTGGCTTGATTCTCTTAAAGCAGTGGAATAAGAAGCTACTAGCAAAGCAAGGAATAGGGAAAATTTTCCAGCTTCCTGTGCAGCCTCTCTCTGCACCACTATATATTGCAGAGAGGGAATGATGGATACAGAGATTTAATTGTTAGAACTAAGAGACAGGAAGAGATGCTCTTCCAATTAAGGTAACAAGGAAAGTGAGACTGAATCCCATACCTTACTTTGCTGATACATGAGTCAAAATGTTTTATAATCTTCACATAGAGACAACAATTTTTTTCCTATTTTCTGGCAATTTTCTGTAAGTAGTGTCCAATATGACCACCATTTTAAGAAGTTCAGATTTTACCTACAGCATGCAGTTGCTGACACCATGACAGTTTGAATTGACTTGGTATAAGCTGCTATGAGCTCCACGTCAGAGAGGTGATGCAGAGCACCAGTAACACTTCTTGTGCTTGAATTTCTCACTGCTTTTCTAAGTATTGTAAGAGAAAATGAATGAAAAATTTATTTCTTAATTGCTAGGATAATTACACTAGACTTTTCCTCCTCATGACTATACAGTATCATTTACTAGACAGATAAGAGAGTTGATTCAAAAACTTGCCTACTACAGAAAAGCACAGTCATGACATCTGGCAACATACTTAAAACAGCACATTCAGTGTCTAGTATGTTCCAAAAGCTGAGCACTACCCAAAAGCTGTGTACTACTTACACTGAGATGGTCAAAATTTGTAAGAAACCTTCCTGCCATTTGTGCCCTGGGATGGAGACCTGGTTGAGACAGCACAACCAGAGTGAGTCCCTGCAGCTTCACCCCACATCGCGACAGGGCCTCAGGGAAATGAATTTTAGATAAACTCAAGGAAGCCTCCTAAGTCAAGATTCAAGTAGGAATTGACCCCATCTTGCCTTCAGACCCACTGCAACACCTCCTGAGCCACCTGAGATAGGCAGTCAATCAGAGGAAAGTCATACTTGGGAGACCCTCAGCCACTGGAATTTGCAGGCATGAGCTCTCCAAAGAGCAGCAAAACCTTTGAAGCCTCCCAGACTCTTGAGAGCATCAGCAGGAAGATTTGCAGGCAGGCTTCATAAATGGCCAACCATGAATGCAAAAAGAACAAGAAACTTGAATCACTGCACAGAATTTCTGACACCTCTTATGAAATACTGATGAACTGGCACACCATCCATAAGGGAAATTGTCCAAGGCTTCCCAGGAAAAGCAGGGCTTCTACCACAGTCAGCTCCCAGTACTCAGGAACTGAACAGGCATTAGACTTCTGCAAACCTGCATTTACCCACATACAAAGGGATATTTTGAACTTTGCATAGTACTAAGTGCTGGGCTTTAGGTCTTCAAATCAACTTCTGTCATCATACTTTAAGAAATAAGTCTCTGGAAAATGCTGATAAAAGATACCAGGAGTCCAAGCTACATAAATAATTATGAATATAGGAATAATGAAGGGTTGTAATGCATGTAAAAGTTCGTCAACCCATTAATAAGTCATTTTATGCTCAGGGAGCTCACACACTTCAGAGAGTAGCTTAATGCATTACCCTTCTTTTTGCCTGGCCCATATATTGGTATAAATATGTACCACACAGCATTCAATGTATAACATGACTGAAAAAGCTCTCAGTTACAAGTGATGTGAGCAATTTTGTTTTTTTCTCCCTCAACTACACAGACATTTTACGATACTGTAAACAACTTATTTTCATTTGCATATTTTCATGCAACTTTATAAATAAGAAAGAAACAAATGGGTTTGCTTCACTCCAGAAGTTTACAACATCCACCATTCCAAACCTGAAACTAAAAAGAGCACAGGAGATCGTTCCAATTAGCTTGGTAGGTGTCACAGATCTTTAGTTTACAGCTTGCTCATACTTTTTTATTTAAGCCGTGTTGTAAACTAGAGACTCACATGTCATTAGCAAACTCTTTCCCCCATCAAATGTGGGGGAAAGGAGGCCAAAATGTGGGGGTGAGGAGGCCAAAATATCTCGGGTTAAAATATCTTAAGTTACGTCCTGGCTGACACTTACTTCTTGGTTCTTCAGGTCTGGATATCTGAAAATAATGGTTTTTTATTTCTGGGCTCTGTGGCAATTTGAAACATAGTGAAATAATTTGAAAACCATTCAAATAACTCCTTTATCCTAAAAGCTACATATAAATTAACTTTAAAATCCCTCTGTTACCATTTTCCTCCTTTTTTTTTTAAATAGGAAAAGAAAATTGCAATTTAAAAGCAACAAACTTCAGAAAACACAAGAAAACACAGCGTGTTCAAGGGTAACGGTTTGTTCTTCATGTTGTTAAAGGCCCCCAAGAATACCAGTGACCCATGAAGCTGGAGTCTTAACCTCTGACTTAACAATTAACCTTGTGAATCATATGGTAGGACTGGTGTTTGTCAGGAAATCTTTCTGTTTCTTTTCAACTGGACCAGTAAAGCAAAAATGAAAGAAAAATTTGTAAAAAGCAAAAAATAATTTAAAAGAAATTACTCTTTGCCTTTTTGACAGTTTGTTAAATTTATTCTTAAAAATTTGAAAATAGTTCTATTCCATTTCCAAACAATATTTCTCAGGTCTTAGTGAGAAAAAAAAAGGTTGGCTTTCAGATCAACCACATATCTTAGATATTTTTACATGATCACGGTTCAAAAGGAGAGCCAGTTACATCCTATACTTCTCTTAGATTTTCGAACCCATAATATAACCCACTAGTCACACACATAGTTTTATAATAAATGTGACTTCCTACATGGCTCTCAAACCCAGCTGAAAAAAATGGATCTTTCGGTCACTAAGAAATTCTTTAACACAATTTTAAAAATATATCTATCTATATGCATACATAGACAGATATATACTGTTTTTAAAGTAAGAGTGATGTGTGGCTTCCGGTCTATGTGTCATTTTTCTTTAAAGAATCACTACCAACAGCACAATCTGCAGAGCCTTTGTAATAAAAGCTTCTGCCTCTCTATATGCTCCGGGTCCGTTGTCCTTATCCCAGAGGGAGCTCAGGAGGTGATTTCCCAGCCTCTGGCGGGAAGCAGTCCCGAGCTGCTCGTGGCAGGCCCAGGGGTCACAGCGTGGTCATGGTGGCCTGCAGAGCGCAGGCAGCGCCGTGCAGCCCCGCGTTCCTGGCGTTGCGCTCGTGGACGAACGCGGGGCTCGGTCCGTCCGTGGCGCTCCTCGGCGGGGCCCACGCCTCCCACGCGGCTCCACCACGCTGACAGCGGCCGGCGGCGTCGGGGGGCCTGGAGCGGTGGGGAGCGGGAGGGGGAAAATTAGTCAGCGGGCACGGAGGGGGAGGAGGGTGGCAAAGTAAAGCAAAGGCGAGGGCGAGAAGATTGATGCGAAAAGACAAGGAAAAGGAGCATTCCTGGAAGGCGAATACTGGAGGAAAGAGGCATGCAAGTACACGTGCACATGATGACACTGCCAAATAAACCCTTCTCTGCACATGATGACACTGCCAAATAAACGCCTTTCTGCACAGCATCGTGCACGTTTCTGTACAAGCCTGAATTGACAAGCTCTCTCATGTATATGTTGCTTTCACTTCCCAAATGTAGAGCACTTCATATTTTAAATCACTGCACAGAACTAAGCAAGAATCGTGTGCATTTTACAGATGGGAGAAAATAATGTGAACGAGGAACATACCTCAAGTATACCGCACTTTTATTTGTGGAAAACAAGTTTAAGTGGCAGCTCGAAATGTACACCTGAAGCAAACATCTACAGCAATACTAGTTTTCAAAGTGACAGAAAAGTGCAGATTCTAAAGCAAATTTTAAAAAAGGAGAAGAAAACAGATGCTCAGAAAAAATGAACATTACTGTGCAGGAGCAAACAGCAGAGCAAACAAATCATCCACAATTTAGGTGACTAAGGGATTAATACTATTGAAGAAGTTGCCTGCAGCTATAACTTGCATTAACACAAAAATTTAGCTGGAAAAGAAACATTTTATAAAAGGTCAAAACACAAACTAAGACCTCACTTTCTAATTTTGCATATGGAAGCATAATGGCTTCTAAATTTTAAATTTAGAGTTCCCAAAATCAAACCCACAGAAATGCTGTGCACAGTTATGGCCACTCTTTGCCACAGTTAGTATGAAGTCCTCCAAAAGCTAGAAAGAGGTGCAAGGGAGAACACTCATTACTTTATTCAGTCTTTTGAAAAATACTATTATGCAGGAGCTCCTAGCTAGGAAACTGTAAGGCTTTAGGCACAAACATCTCCAAAACAGCAGCAGGGATAAGCAATTAATGGAAAACAGCCAAATTTTAAAATACTTGAAAAATGGACAATGATCTGTTAACTGTTGCCTGTGTAGCCCTAGAGTTCTTCACCAGTGTGTTTTAGGAGATGCTGATAAAAGGTACAGTCATATATCAAAAAAGTGCTTGGAAAAAAGCACTTCACAAACTACTCAAAGTAAGGAAATTCCTAAATCAAAAGTACTCCTTCAGTTTCATGTAAAAGATTCGATTTAATGAGCCAAATCTAAACAAAGTGGGAGGATTGTTGCTGTTCACATAGAGGGGTCAGACAGCCTTCAGCTCAAATTCCACCTTCTCATCTTCCAGAACAGCCAAGCAGACAGACGAGTTGGAAGATCACACCATAGAAGGCAGGCAAGCAGAAAAGCAGAAAAGCATGCAGGATTCACAACAGTGGTAAATGATTAACATTTCGGGATAGTCCTCCTTTAGAAAAGGAGCAGGATTCGTACAAAGATCACCCATGTGTAAATTCAGAATTTTGGTTTTTGTGAAATACACTGAGGAAGTGACCCATGAATACTGAGGGCTCCAATCCCCAACAGTTCATTCCTTTATTTTACCATTTCTCTCATGGATGTGGTTAAGGCAAAGCTACATCTACTAGCAAAAAAAAAACCCAACTCCCCTACTTATCTCATAGTACGGAAATAAATATTACATCTGTCTGCTGTACTAACTTAGCAAAAAAAGAACTGACTGGGGAAAGACTAAACTTAGAAAGACGCTGATTTTAGGTTTCCAGACACACAACTAACTCTGCTGTACTAACTTAGCAAAAAAAGAACTGACTGGGGAAAGACTAAACTTAGAAATACACTGATCATGTTTTAGGTTTTCCAGACACACAACTAATATTCCAGACCATTTTCAGATCCTGCAGACCAGTACAGCTTTCCTGTACTGACAATTTTACAGGAATTAAGTAAAAAAAAAAGACAAACAAAACAATAAACCCAGAAATAATAAAATCCTTTGCATCTGGCAAAGTACTTTCTACAATCTGGCAAAACTGCTGTTGGCAGCTGCAGCATTAACTTTTTAAATTAAAGGAAACATTGACATTAGCAAGGGATCTAAGCTGCAAGGTACCCAATAGAGGCATCTGCCAAGCAGAGTGCAGAAACCCAGGCGGTCAGGACCTTACTTCTAAACCCCTTCAATCTAACTATCTACAAAATCCACAGTCCAGAAGATTTTGGTGTTCTCAATAATCTTTGGCAAGCTCTCTCTAAAAGAAGACTATTTTTCTGACAGAAAGCAAAGATAATTCATGCAGAAAGAGGCCAATTAAAGACAGTAGCAGCTGAAAGGAGATCTTGTTAGCAGCACCGAGACACCCTTGCAGGCACAATAGCCAAGTCACAGCCCCCTGCAATAAATATGTATGCTCTGGCAATTCCATTAACCTAACCCCACTTGCCATCTAGGAAACCAGAATGCAGCTCAATTCCTGACTCAGCTCCAAACTGTTGTCTTTTTCCTACAGCTGGATTTGCCCTTTTATCACAGGCAGTACTGTTTCCAGTGAACACAGTAAAACCAGAAGACAACTACTTTCACTAGCACTGTCTCAAAGAAATGTAACACAGACACAGTAGAAGCACTGCACTCTCAATTAAAATGCATCAGTTGCCAAGAAGCTTGTTTTCTTTAGGACACACTGTTTTGAGTTACATGCAGGTGTATTTCGCATTCACTCCCACTCTTCTATACAAACACCACATCCTGCAGCAGCTGGCTGAGATTCTTGGACAATGTTAAGACAGACAGGCTCAAGCTCTCAATCCTAAAAACAGGCATAACAAACCCAAAACTGAGTGGCTATAGAGCCCTCTCTGCTTCAGAACCAAAGCAGCAGGATTTCAGTAAGCAACAGCAGCCTTGCAAACATGAGCAGGAACATTAGCACAAATCAGGTACCCAAGAAGAGCTGGTCTGGAGCCAAGTCAAACATTTCCACCAAAGGAAATACAGGTGACTAGCACTCATCTTGCAATTAGGCCAAAAGAATAAAAATATAACCATATTGAGAATGCTGAAGAATAAAGATGCCACCACCTTTCACCCACCACCATGGAAGGAATCGAGCGATCAACAGGATCCCACCACAGACAAGCACAGATTTCAGATACTAGATAAATCAAGGGCAAAAGAAAGAAAAACAGCATTTATCATCATATGTTCTGATTAAAATGTCAATAAAATGCAACTCAAAGCAGTATTACCATCCCCTTTATCATTCAAAATTGATAGCATTAGAAGTCTTTTAAATTAATACAATTTACAAAATTGAAGTACATTTGTCACAGCACTGTTAGAAACAAGCACCATTGACTTGTAAGAGATACTGAAGCAAAGCAGAATCATATGCCTGACAATGGGAGAAAGACCCTTTCTCTTGAGGGCTGAAACTGCTTAGGATAAGAGCTTTGGTGTCACTCCAATCCACCACAACTGCTCCTGATGAGTCCAGCAGAAGCCACAATTTCCTTTCTTGGAGGAGCCCTGGGCATGAGAAGCCAAAGAAGTTAAGATGACCTGTGCACAAGTACTGGGTTGATACATGCCAGTTTTGTGAAAATAGCTTTGCAATATAGAATTAATTTAAGAAGAGATAAATAGCATGTACATTTATCTATCTTCAAACAAATCCTCTTCATTTTGAGATGTATCTAATCCATAAAACAAATACTCTGATTAAACGAAATCAAAGCTCTTATCTTCAGCTTGTGTCATTTTCCTCAAGCTCCCATTCTACACAAGCTCATGAGAAAAGTCAGCTTGTCTATTTCAGAAGGTTCAAAAGATAATTCACAAGGATACCAGTTTACAAGGTTCTGTATTATCTAAAGATCAAGGTTAAATCCTTGGACCCCATGATACCAAGAAAAGGGTTGCAAGCTTATAGCAAATGAGAAGGACCCAACTCTCTCCAAGACTTTAAAATGCTACTCCTCCTTAATTCCTCCAGCCTGAAGAAATTTTCTTTTGGTTGGCAGTGACTAAGGCTGTTGTCCTCACCTCTCCACACACAATTCATAGGAAGAAATCAGCTGCATCATCCCTAACTTGATTGTCAACTTACATCAGCAGCTTATTTAAGTACAGGTAAAGGAAAAGCTACTTGAATCATGCATAAGTAATCAGAATTCATTTCCCAGCAAAGCTTAACGTACCACTTCTTATCTTGCTGGCTGGCTCCTGGGCTCCTTGGGAGGTTTTCTATTTCCACTAAGACTGGTGCAGAAGGAACCGCTGTTAGGACAGGTAGGCTTGGCTTTGCATTCCAGCCCTTTAGAGACAGAATATAGACAAGTTGTTACACACACATTAATGAAGTGATGACACAGTAAAGTGAACAAAACATATCAACACTTCTTCTTAAGCACAAAGCTAAAGCAAGGCCATTTTCTTCCCTTACTTCCCTAGCACTGGATATCTATGCCTAGTCTTTTCCAGCACTGTAGACAGTTAACTATTAACTGTAACATTCAATTGGTCAATCACTGGATTTCAAGAACAAATAACAAAATCTTCAAATCTGTTGAGACACATGAAAATTGCCTTTAGAAAGAATGAGAGTCCTTACTTGTGATCCATTAGTTTGGCTGATAACAGCATTGTTTGCAGCACTGAAAGACAAGAAGAATTTAAAACTGTATCAGATCAACAAACTGCTTTTGCAGGCTGGTAGAAATGTAAGGACTTTCAGAAAGAAACAGAATCTAAGATATTTCCAAAGTATTAATCTCTTGTCACAAAGGGTATCAAGTTATTTTCTCTTTGTTCAAGCTGTAGCTTATCTGCAACTCATCAATTTTTAACTCTTCCTTTCCTAAACAAGTTTGGTTTTTAAAGTCTTGCTGATTCAACAGGAAGATGTGGCACTTCTAAAGCAAAAATTATGTATTTTTAGTTAAAACACCCAGCAAAATGTGACATTGTGAAAAGCTCACCTACATGCTGTAGATATTATGTTTGTTCCATAACTAGAACCCTCCTGATTCGACGTTTCACATCACAAGAGTTTTTCAGAAAAATTACAGTTTCTTCTGCATACAACCTCTAGTGGACTCAAAAGCAGCTACTGAAATTTACATGCACAGCAACTCGGCATAGCATTAATAATAATTTTATGTTATTAAATATTTACTATATTTGATGAATTAAATAAGACCCATATCCCTATTCTTGATGATTTCTGAACCTGCAAGAGACATTTCACATTTCTGAGAGACTTAAAAGCAGTAATTATGCATTATAGATTTCATGCAAAGCAAACATTTTCCCCAGACTTCTAGCCTTTTAAAAATGATTCCCATCTCTTACAACCTGTTAATTTTCTGATTTATGGTCTGGACAACAGCTATCCAACCTGCCAAGCTGGCAATTCAAATAGATTTCGGTATTTACTTCAGTGACTCTTAAGATTTGTTTTATTTAAAACACCATTATGTCAACACTGAACAAGCTGTTTCTTGCCTGTTTCCCCCTTCACCCTTTCTCTATTGAGAGAATGTGGAGGCTACCCCAGAATTTTCAGAAATGTTGAGGAATTCCTTCTGACTAGCACAGTCTCCTGTGCTGGGTTAACACAAAAGGAAACAACATACATCTTTCATGATGCATTTCAATTAGCAACACTGGAGTGTAGAGTTTCAGAAATGGCATAGCTTGCTGTGGAGACACAACAGTGCCACACCTAAATGCAGATCAGGAGACCGCAGTCTTATCAGCAGGAGAAACTGCACATGAAGTTTCTCTTCCCACTCTCAGAATGACCTAAGCAACCTGAAACTTGGAGAAGGGCACGACAACACAGTGTGACAAGAGCACAATCAAACAGTCACATTTTACATGCAGAGGGTCTCAATGACACCCAGTTTTGCAGAGTACTTTCCCTTTGTAGAGAAAGAAAAAACAATAGAGGAAGTTACACTGTAGCCTTGTCCCCACACTTCCAGACTTCTCCCGCTCTCATGCAAGAACCAGCCCTGCTACTACAGACAGAAAATGTTGGGCTGCATTAAATCTGTTGTTCTGAAATGTTATTTTGGCATTCCATGGTGCTCACCATGGTGCTTAATATCTGTGAATATCTACTTTTTAAAAAATTATTTGGTTACAACTGATCACTGAATTGTTCACAAGTTATTAAGGCAAAGGACAGAAACCAGAACTGAGTGACCTAAGTTTCTTCACTACCTTTGAACCTGGTTTCCTCTCTTTCCTTAAGGAAGGGTATGAAAATTATATGATTCAGATACATATGAGTAATTTACATTGCAACAGCAAGTATGAACCTACACATCCAGGAAGACATTTGGCAGAGAAATAAAGAATCAAAAGGCTTCCCTTTCAATGTTGATCATGCATGAAAATAAATACAAGTGTAATACAGAATACAAACCCATCAACTTATTTCAAAAATATTCATTTTACTGTCTTTTCCCTGTCTTTGACCTTCACTGAAGGAGCTATTTCAGTCACACAGCTGGAGCAGGCAGACTTCAGATAGAAGACCTCCTCACAGACTTTTACCTGATCTCTTTACATGGCAGCACATGAACTACAGCTCACATCCAGCAAGAATCATAGCTAGTAATAAACAAACCGCTTTGCCAGCTAGTAAGCAAGTCTGGCAAAATTGTCTGTGTGACAGCAACTCAGAAGTTGCTGTGAACATAACTTTTATATAAAGCAAACAATATCCACAGCAAAACTACAATTAAGAGTCCAACACTATATCCTCCTTCTGCAGACACGTGCTCAAGTACAGGTGCCAAACATCAAAGACAGAAATTGAAACACTGGAATACATCTTACCTTGTTTCTTCCAGTTTAGCAGTGTATGCTGCAAAAATATAAAACATTAATTAAAATCTAACTTATAATTAGGTTATCAGTTAAATATTGATTATGTGATTAATAAAAATAGCCTACCACTGCCTAAAAGTAGGCAACCAAAAGAGCAAAAGTTGAACCAAAAGAGCAAAAGTTGCACAGATCTCATGTATAATGCGTGAAAAACAAAATCTATATCAAAAAATAAAATAAAAAATCTGAAGAGCAAACCAAAGCCAGATTTAAGCAAGTATCTGAAGGCAAACATGGCTGTCACACCTGACCTATGCAAGAGTGAGAGTCAGAAGCAAGGTATCAGCTGCTGTCAGATCATGACAACAAAGGGCAGCTCCCAACAACAATGAAAAAAATCTCAATGACAAACATTTTTAACTCACTTAATAAATTTAAAATACCCTAATTAATATACTGCTGTTTCCTGGATCCAAGTTTTCCATCTTCATATCAAGACCTACTGTGTAATTTTCATGGGCAAGCTGGTTTGGACACAAACTTATTCTGATAAATACATGAGGTCTCTTAACTAAGTCAAATAAAACCTAATTTTGAAAATTCAAGAGAAGGGCAAACAGCCACAGGAGAATTCCCACCCAGAAATTTTAAAGGAGATGATTACCTGATTCTCACATTGGATTATACTTCCCAAAATGGAAGTTCTTTTACCTTTCATTTGCAGGGTTCGTCTTGAATATCTCTTGCTAGGCCTTCTTTCAAAGGATGCTGATCTCCTGGCTTTGTTGGTCTTTGTGGTTTGATATTCTGTTTTCCCACTAAAAATGCCATGTAAGAGTGCAAAGCAGTAAAATACATCACTTATTTTTAGTGATGGAATAATGTTCATAAAAACATCACACTTCTATTTTAAATTCATAGCTTACTACCTCATGTCAGTTCTAAAAAAACATCCCAAACTTCAAACCTCAAAAGACCTTTCACAAAAGAGGGTAAGAGTTTTAGAAACATTCTCTTCCTCACCCCATTTCCCGAAGACAAATGGCAGAAGCAATGACTTTTTAAACACTTAGTTGCTGACAAAAGCATGTGTGCCCTTTGCATATTTCTGTGATCTCACTGCACGAGTTTTGGGAGAAGCTGAAAACTCTGAGAGAATAAAGCTTAAGTAATATTGCCAAAAGTCACAGAGAAAGCTGATAATGGGACTAAAACCCAGCATCCAGGAAAAGCAAGGAATGAGAGGAGGAGTGTGCCAAATGACAGTGACACTGACCTGTATCGGAAGCGAGACCCCAAGCGAATGAAGCCAGACCGACTGGAGCTCTTCTGGACAGGGCCCCGGAGCCGGAAGAAGGCGTGGTGCTCCACTGCACACTTCCACAAGTGTTTGCAGGCTTTGGGATGATCCAGTCTAAAGACAAAAGTGTGCTCCTGCTCCTTTCCCTTAAAGCACACAAAGCACACTGACAACTTACAAGGGGCTTGAGTAAGTCAAACCTAAAATTCCATGTAAGCCAAATAAAATTTGGGTTTTATCATTCCTAATATGTATATTTTAAAACACATTTTAGGCAGAAAAATCAACCTTTGCAGAAGCTATAATGAACAACTGCTATATTGTCTAAAGTTGGAAAAAGCTAGAGTCCATATATTTAACAAGCCAAACCTCTGAATAACTACAAATTAAAGATACTATTACAACAGGAAGGTACTTGTTGATGAGGCTAACATGGTTTCACTTCCAAATCTAATCTTCTCAAATTACCAATGCTCACTTTTTAATTGTCTCAGGTGTATGCAATTTCTTGCCCATAGAAACAATTCTGAAACCTGCTTAAGTAATTGATTCTATTAAATGTGGTATGTGGGATTTTTTTTAAACTTTCTTGCGCAATGCACGCTCTTTCCTAAGTACCTGCTCTAGTTTCACCAGACATTCTCTTTTCAAAAAATGGATGGGAGAAAAGTTTATCTTTTACTTATGTCCCAATCAAGAATCTTTCAGGCATCCACATTAATTCTCAAAACTTAAATATAAGGAAAGATTAGGAGTATATACACTAGTACTGTATAATCAAGACTGAGATTTAACTAAAGAGATATTTATCTACCTGTTCATCATCTTCAACAACAACCAGAGTGAGTTTGTTCTTCTTGAAGTCAAGCCTTGTTATCTTTGGCCTGCCAGATGAACAGAGAGTGTAGGTTATGTCTAACTTTCAGTAACTTACTGAGAAAGTACCTCATATTCATGGAGGTCTCACAATGCAAACAATTTTCTTTCCTGCTCTCATAAAAGAAACAAAAGAGCCAAAATCGAAAACAGATTTTAGGGTACAATCAGAGAGCTTACCAGAAAAACAAACCAATCTTTGTGTCTCCTTCAAAGACAAGAACTCCTGTAGGTGTTAGTCCCAGGCTGTAATCATTGCCATCTCTTGCCTAATTGCCACAAAATAAAAATGAGATTAATTCTGGTGTTTGACCCTCTATCCAATTTCCTAGAGTGATTCATGTAGTTTGTTTGCTCACTGTTACAATTACACATGTCTGCTATCTTATACAACAAAACTCTTATGTTTTGATGATCTTATGCAATGGGTTTTTCTTGTTTGTAACTCTTCAGTAAGGATGACTAAAGAGGAAAATTAAAGTTTCTCGATCTGTCTGTGTAATAAAGAAATCCTTATGCATTTGCTGCACTTGCACCTCCACAGGAGATCTATGCTTATTCGTAGTTCTTTAGCTGGTAGCTGACTACACCCCAGCAAATTTGAATTACTATGATTTTTCACAAAACTCCTAAGTCTAAATACAAACTGTAGTACATACTTCCACATCAATCACGCATTTAACATAGAGCAGGATATGCTTGGACTCAAGTTATACTTTCTAGAAATATATACCAAAGAGTGGAATGTTGACACAAAGCCAGATTACTTATTACATAGATTGCAGGAGAAAAATATTCCTTTTCTTTCCCCCCTCAAGGCAGAACCAGTGTTGAAATGCAACACAAAACTAACACTATGATTTCCAAAGGTCACCATGCTGTGGTTAAACATACCTTGACTATGTGCATGTCTACACCATACATTTCCAGCCACTTAGCTTTGTTTAAGTAGTTAGTTTCAGCCTGTGCTGGTGTTTGGCCCCTGAAATAAAATTTTTACTGTTAGGTAGATGCCTGTCTGAAAAAGCACAGAAAGGAAAAACTGGTAAATGAGGAAAGAGGAAAAGAAATTCCTGAAAGTTTGTGGAAAAGGTAAAAACTGGTGACACCTGCTCACTTTACTGAAGATCAAGGTCACTTTTTAAAGATTTAATCTGAAAGTACTGCTGCAGAAATTACTGTGTTTCAAGATTTTGTACCTCATCCTTTTACTCAGACCTCTGAAAAGCTTCATTTATCACATTATATTCTTTTACAAAATAGGACAGAACCATATTAAAATTCAATTTCAGAATTGGCCGCAGAAGAAGCATCAGTAGTATCTTTTTAATAGATTTACTTCACAGAAAAATCAGTGCAAACAGCTGGGTAGCATTCACTGGAAGCTCTAGTACCTGCATTCCTTCCACTTCTCAAAAACAGCTAATTCCATCTCTTCAGTCTGAGTGGGAACAAACCTGAACTCAGACACCAGCTCAGGGACATGTTCAGCAGCATCATAGTCTCCAAGTTCAGCTACAAAAGAACAACACTGTTAGGCACTGTTCTCAATAAACACAGTGGATAATTCTGCACAGAAGAGTTTCTGCACACTTTTCTAGTTAGTCCAAAATACTAAATTTCTTTTTGTGTTCCTTCTCCTCCTCCAGTTCTCCCGTCACCGTTTTTGACAGGGGAATTAAGGACACTGAACAAATAGTTGTGTTGTTTGCACCAAAATTTTGTGTTCATGTCTACAAAGCATTATTGACATATCCCTTAAAAAGCTTCCTATAAAGGGAATGTATCACCATCCTTGAAACTCACCTTTTTTCTTTCTTGCAGAGTTTTCAACATTTTTATCACAGAAGTATCTACTGAGATGACAGCTGACTAAAGTTACAATGGAATTTTGCCTTAAAGAATTAAAACAATATCTCTTGAGATTGATAAAAACCAAAACCAGTTCTGACACTTTCCATGAAACTATTTGTCCATTCTACAAGTTGGTTTCTGGTTTTATGATTCTATAGGGCCCTGTCTTGCCTGCTAAAAGTACTCTGTGTCAGGGCACAATCACGCAGCTGGTATTTGCTGCTCTCCTTTTCACCTAAGGACATACTAATTGCCCTCCTGGGTCAGTCAAATGGCTCATCGAGTCCACTGCTGCATGCTCAGAGGAGCAGTAAGAGATGCTATGTACAAAACATACAGGAACATACCAGCCAAGGGGTGCCACATCAATACAACTCCATCTCCCACAGATGCTAACAAGTCCACTTTTAAAGACAGATCAATATCTAAAATGTTGAAACTGACAATGAGAAACCTTAACAAAAATGTACTGACTTTCAGTCACTAAGCACTGGCTCCTCCTACTAATTTCAAGTTGTAAAAATTAAGAATAATTCTGTAACTTGGACTTTGGAAGTCTGATGCAGGCCAGTAACTACTCTGCCAGAGAAAAGGAAGCTACAGATGTTTATGTAGAGAAAAATAGAGAAATCACTGGGAAGACCTGGCAAAGTCAAATAAATGCCAGTATTCCACAGGTACAGAAATGCCACATGATATAAAACTCCATTTCTTGGATTCTGAATACTGCAAGCATAATAACAGTCTTTTCACCCCCTCCTTTTTCTTTTTTTTTTTTTAAATGCTGACTGAGGAAGTCTGTAGTTCTATAATAATTTACTCCCACTAAAATGCCTGCCTCTGTTCAAAGGAATGCTGTCAAAGCCAGCTTAGGTTCCAGCTGATTTAAATAAAAGTACACAGCTGTCAGACAGTAAGATTAAAGCCCTGCTACAGGCCTCATTGTGGAGAGAGGAAAGAAAAGACCACCACAAAAAGCAGTGGATATATGGCCTAATTAGATCACTTTGTTCTTCCAAAATCTTATTTACTGAACCTGCATCTTAAGGCTCTAACAATGCTAATATTTTTAACTGTGGAATGTATTCTAACTGCTTTCCTTCCACACAAAAGAGAGCAGGTTAAAAAGGCAAGCGTCTCCACAGTTTAATCCCAACTCTTCTACCTACACATGATTTAGGGTCTTCAGCACTTTCTGCATGAAAAGAAGAAAGTGTTTTGAAAAATACTCATAAGACAACAAATTTGAGTGACTTAGTCCTACCTCATGCAGAGTAAGTACAGCAGATTCATAAGATGAATGTTATGTGGAGAATTTGTGTGGCTCAAACACATGGGACATCAATTGGCTTGAATAAGGCCATATGTCCATATATCCATATCCTCCCATAAAGACCCAAAAGCCCATTTTAAAACTTCAAGCCTCGCCTCTTTCTTTTGTGAGCTTCTCTGCTCGAAACCATAGGTAACTTCACATTTGTTAACATCACACCCTCATCCAAACACCACATTCTCATCTGGACTCAAAAGTTAGAGACAACTGATTAATAAAATCTCAGCTGACTCAAACAAAGTGCTGTATAGCTGAGGAAAAAAAGAGTTATGTGACATCTTGTGGCTTGAGAGGGATCTGAAATACTAACAAGTGCAGTTCAGCCTGGAATGCTCAAGTACAAGCACAAGACACAGGGCATTAAGATGTTCCTACAAATAAGCTGAAATCAAAAGCTGGTATTTTACACACAGTGCAAACAAAACCAATTTGTATCTGATTTGGACAACAAAGACAAGACTTGACAGAACCAACCTATATGATGAAAAAGAAGTGAGCTGTGTTACTACACTGAAAGGATTCAGGAAGGCTGCAGGCCTCATATCTTCTGTGAAAGTGGACAGATTTGGACATAAGCACCTGAGAAAACAACTTTAGAGCAAAGCTGTTTATGTTCAGAACGTCATTGTTCTGTTTCCTGAGGAACTGAGTAATTTTCTGTACACACTCTCAAGCACAAGTACAATCCAAAAGATCTGCATTTCACACTGGATCACTAATGTCAGGGCAGAGTCTATTTTATGGACATAACAAGGACAGGCTTTTTTAAACACTTAATAAGAGTCTACACAAAACTGTTGGTGCAACTTCACCCTTCCCTTCTTGCACCTACTCACCTTGCATGTTATAAGCTGCCAGCTGGACTGCAGTGTCAAAAGGACATTCCAGTCTGCCAAAAGAGAAATGCATTGTTAAAACCCGAACTGACACCATTAGCAGACAACTTATGTAACACACAGTAAGAAACTGCAAAGGTCTGGGATAAGAAAATGAAAAAGTATTGGTAGATTTTCAGAAACTTATCAGGAGATAAGCACTACATTATTTAAGTATTCCTCTCTGATATTCATGCATAGAAAAGTAGTATTTTAGAGAAAAAAACCCAACATTACATCACTAAGCAAAACTTATTAATGATCCAAATATAAATGTAATAAACTCTATGCTAAACACACTGTAATAGTTTAAAAGACTGCTTACTTTCCACTAAGAATATCCAATTTCAGCTGCAGAACAAATAAGTACCTGCAGGATTAAATAAGAAATAAGTCATTGAGTAATAGTGCTAATGTGTCACTCAGTCAACAGGAATAAGTTAGAGCTTGACAAATAAAAATGTTTTCTACTCTTAACATGGGTTTCCAAGACAGAAGAAACTGCACTGTGACCTCTCAAGGTTTTATCAGTCGGGTTTGTGTGTTTTGCAGGCATTTCAAATGAAGCAAACCCAAAAGTACAAGCTGTCAAAAGCTGAACTACAGTATTGCATGGAAAAATAAACAGGGTACCCAAGTAAATATATTTTTTATTCTCTTCTGATTCTACTTGAGCAAAGAACAACTTGCATCTTTCACACTTCCTTCATTATTCATACACCTACAAACCTCATAAAAGAATGATTATTTTTAAGTCTTAAAAAAAAAAAGTTTCTACTATGGATTGCCTAGTTAAAATTTAACCAGGAATGCTGACTGCAAAGTGACTAAATATAAATAGCAGGCTGCAGCCTTTTCAACTTGGTTACTCTTCAGAGACAGCTTTCCTTCACTGCCTTGCATATCCTCTACTCTTTTTGCTTAGAAATGGGGCAAATATTGAATATAAATCCCTTTGGTGTGCAATACCAATTCTTCTGATCCAATACCCCTGAAGAGCAGCCCTTTGCTCCATTATGGTACACAGCTTTCCTTTAACAAGAGACAAGCTCTAATCAAGTATAAAACACTGGCATCCACCACGGAATCCAATCTGAATTCTAGCACAGTCTCCTCACACTCATACACAGGCACAAAACAAATGCAGGTGTTTTTCCTACAGGTTCCACAGAAGTCCACATATACTTTGCCAAACCATTTATTATCCAAAACCTTCTGAACACTAGCCTCTGCATGGGGAATAAATTTGGTTGCTACTGACCCCAGATATGAAAATGAACACAGGCCTCCAGTGTGCAGTGGGTGTGACCAGTCTGTGCTTATCACATAACACTTCAAAATAATTCAAGCACTTCCCCATGCTGTGTTACACGACCACTGGCTGAGAACATGAGCAAGCTGTACCTGTAGAAGATGAAAAGTAGCTCCAGCTGGCTGTCCTGCTGTTTAAAGGTGGAAGCCCGGGAAAGCCCCTGCCAGTGACACCTACACCCCATGGCAAAGCTCTGCTTCCCACTGCTGCTGCTATTTAAGGTGTATCACTGTCTCAAGACAGGAGGACAACTTGCTGCTCTCCTGTTCTGGGGGATTAGCTAAGCAGGCAGACTGTTTAAAACCCCTCAGATTTCAGGGCTGCCCTGCCAAAACCTGCACAGCAAGGTATGACTGGCAGAACTCAAGCCAAAATGGATGAAAACGTTCCATAGTGGCAGATACAGATATAGGTCTGAATTCTGTCTACACCTGCTGGTTTTAAAGACAGTTAAATGTTTATTTGGGAACACAAATAGGGAGGTAAAACATTCTTCCCAGATCAGCAGAAAAGCATTAAAAAGCAGCAGTTGCCACATGATGTTACTGCATGTAAATATGAAGCTGCACAGGGTACATATGGCTGGAAGGGGTAATGCTACTATAATCTTCCTGGTAGCACTCCAAGGGATTTGGCTAAAGTGCACATTGAAGATCCACACATAAACCTGAACAACAAACAAATGCACTTCACAACCTTACAAATGGCTGAGGTATGTAATGTCTACAGCTATCATGAAAACATAACTTTGTTTACTCTCCAAAGGGGATCAGCAGCAGCAGTAACAACACAAGGAACTGTTGTCTTTTACAACAGATGTATATTCCTGACAGGTGGTAGGTTGTGCTCTTTTTCTCAGCTCCCCCCACAGTCTCAGCCCATTCAGAAATACACTTCTATGAATGGATTTGTGAAATGCTTTAATCAAGAGGAACTGCTGCTCACCTGATACTACAAACCAACACCTACAGTAGTGTCAACTCAGCTCAACATAGCAGTAAAATACTACTTTCCCTTTCCATAAGCTCTTTGAAGACCTCACATGCAATGAAATGCTAACTGAACTTCCTTTTTCAAAGAGAACCTCTAACTTGCAATTCAATGCTTTTCTGCCCGGAGACAGAAAGATTGCATGCAGTTGAAATTAACAGCTTAAGAAAAAGACAGAGGAATGATGTCTGTTCTCTTCAGTGAAAACTTCTGTCCATGGTGTATAAGCTACTCAGATCAGTTGCCAAAACTGCCTAATGAAAAATGGTGCATTAAGTAATATGTACATATTTAGATCACTCTGTGTCACAGCACATTTATTTCCACACACAAAACAGGCACTTTACAAAAAGAAAACTACATTTACAAAAAGCCAAGTAAGCAAGCAGCTCTAAAGAAGCCTCCAAATTGTTTAAATAAATACCATGGAAAACATTTCCCTGGCCTTATTTGGGTCCCCCCTCACACACAAAATCCCTCTTACCTTGTTAGCTCTTCACGTAGATTGTTGGGCTCTGATGAGTAAAATTTTACACGAAAATGGAGACAGTATGGGGGGCCAACTGCAAAGCACAATTCAATCAAGACAGCAGTAACAGTTACTGGATGAAACAGGTTATTTATTTATTCCACAGAATCACATCACAAAACTTGACTAAAATCAGTTGGCATGTTCTACACAAGGTCTTAAGGCAGGAATTCCTTTATGCCAGGGAAATCCGTGAGGAACATCATAAATATGCACACAAAATAGTTTTATGTGTTACAAGTCAACCCAATGGTCATATCACATTACCGTGATTCTTCCTGCCAAGAGCATATGAATCCAGGTTAATGCCTATATTTAAGGGCTCTATCCATCACCACGAAAGCTAAGCATCTTGGTTCTACAGTTGACTAAACCTTCAGGAACGTTGTTGGTGTCTGCAACATCTTCCCAGGGCTCTGGGAAATACTCACTGCTGACAACTCAGGCCCCTCTATTCCACAGAAGTTTAGACATTCTTTATGGGAATTTAAGAGACCCTTCTATGGAAGAATCATCTCTTCTGGAAACCAAAGAGTTAATTCAGCAAAAGGGTGGATTAATAGCTCTTTAAAAATGTGCATCGCTCTGCTGATTCTTGCATTTGACAGGAGGAATTTTCTCCCTCCTCACTGCTTCCAAAACCTCTCTTGTATTAAAACAACACCACAAATCCCTGAAGACTTCCCACAGTGCAGAGCAAGGAAGCTGCTAAACAACATCTTCCCCAAGCACACATCACTGCAACAATGAGCCACACTGAACCTTTGTGCAGCAGGTGAGGACGTGGTGGACTGGACACAGACGCAAGCATGCAGGACTGCCCCCGTGTGAGGTTCCAAGACAAGTTTTCCTATAGCCAGGATAATGCTCCATAACACTACAACATCTTCAGCTGCCTTGACTCCACTTCAACTATAATTCATGAGCCCATAACATGTTTAATTAAGAACATTAGAATAAAGTAATATGAGCTACAGAGGGAAGACACCATTAAACAATCAGTAGCACCATGCTGGGCTTTTGTCACTTGCCACCCTCACCCCCTCACAGGACACTGCCCCCCGCCACCCATTTCAACTGGTGGTGCTTTCTGTATGTTAAATATAATGCCTCAAGAGAAAATGGAAATGACACTTACTTTTAACTTGCTTTTTAATGCTTTTGGTGTTGTCCAGCCAATGCTGAAAAATAAATTAATTTCACTGAATTATCAATAAAGAAATCTCCCAGAAAGAACAAAAAAGGAAGTGCTAGTGAAGACCATCTTGGAATAACAAGTAGCCTGTTAAAACAATCTAATCCAAATCTTTCACAATTCATAGCTTTCTGTGCTTGCTGAAGATAATTTTCCTCAAAGTTTGTAATGCAAAATGTCAGTTTTGAACAACAGAAACATCCTGTAGTACCTTATTTAAACAAAATCTTCAAGATAGCACTGTCTATTTAAAAGAAAAATAAACATACTAGAAAACCACTTCAGTAGATTTTCATCCTATCCAGACAAACACTTAATTCACACATTAGTAGGTCAGCCAGTGACAATCAGCCAGAGAAGCATAAATCATAGCTGAAGACTCTGGCACTCAGCTGTGTGTGATGTTTACTTGGGACAGGAAGGGGAAAGAGAAAATAAATATTGTTGGCTTTCAGGCATTTTCTTCTGATGACTCAAGTGCAGTAACAGCAGAGCTGTCTGTGTCCCAACATCAGAGTCAGCTCTACCTAATTCTCAAAAATCTATTCACAGGTGACATTTCAGCAACTGTCACATGGGAGGACAAGTTACTGCCTCACCTACTAATGCTAATTATAAGCTATATACTGGACAAGAAGCCAAAATAATGGCTTGACTTACACCATGTACAACAGCACGTGAAAAAAGCTGTACTTGGCAGATTGAAACACCTACACATGCACACTATGCTCCCCAGAATAACTGCACATAATCGCACTGCTGAAGAGTTTATACCAGAAGTCAAAGCTGGAAATCCAACACACATCTAGCGGGACAGATCTCTTTCCTGGTGCTGTGCAGGGCCAACAGCTCCCTCCTCCAGAGGAGGTGACTCGCCTAAACAGGAAACACAGCACCCTGACCAACATAATAGCACTGACTCAACAACCAGGGCCAACTATCTGACACACCATGCGCCACGGCTCACCATGCCCAGGGAACAACACCTCATCAGATCAATCCCAAATGTCACCTTGCAACTAACACAGATGAATCACATACTTAGTAAGACTCCTTTTGTTAAGCTGTGTGACATGAAGTTCACAGTGAGCTCCAGGGAGGACAGAAAAGCAACAAGGGTATGAAAAAGAACCAGTATTTTCAGGTTGCACTGCCAAATGTAAACACATTCCTGCCTCCAGAACAGCCCTGCCTTGTGCAGAGAGCTGAAGTCAGCCTGAAACACAGCCGGGCTGTGACTGATTGCTGTATTAGCTGCAGATGAGAATGCTTAAAACATCTGCTGCTGCTGTGCACACAGCTGAGAACGCTCTCATTGCCTATTCAAACTAAGTAGCTACAGAGAACTATCTGAAATGTATCTAATACCTTTTTAAAATAAAGCAGGAAGCTTAAGGAGGAATGAAGCAAATATTTACATAAATTTTGCTTACACTACCAGTGAAATGGGAGCTAAGCAATTTTTTTTTCTACAAGGAAATTATATAATCTTTTTTCCTATTCCATAAACTCACTTGCTGTAAGAGAGAGTTTACTTACTCCTTCCTCCACTAAAAAAATATAGAAACTACACAGCTGGAGGCTTGCAGGTGATTTAGATACAGAAATGGCAAGGAGAGCCCTTTCTAGGCTTCAGGGCTGGCTGTGCCCCGGTTTCATCTCCCTCCTGTTTTCTCTCATCTCCTCCACATTCCATGGGAAGGCAACAGAGAGGCAGGCCCATGACAGGCGCCGATAGCGTTTCGCTCTGCTGGGCTCTGCCTGCTGCTGCCCACAGGAGCTCTGCTCAATGGCGATGGTGTGCGAGGGAGAAAGGAAACAGAACTGCTTTTAAGTGGGGGTGGGAATGAAACCAGCCCCAAAACCAACACATGAATGGACAGACACAGACGTCAAGAAACTTGAGATTTATTCCAAGTGATTATAATGGAATTCAAGTGGACCTGGAAAAGAAGTTAACTTTTGATGAGGGTTTGCACAGCACAGTGTATTGCTGAAAATCAGAGATAAAGTTTGCTAATACAAACACAGACTGGACACAGACTGTGCAGAGTACTGGAAGTCCTTACTAAAATAGTTTGCTGCTGCAGACATTAAAAACAAAACACATACAAAAGCCCCTCAAATCCTGACCCAGCAACATTTTAAGAAGTTTGGGCAAATGAGGTTTGTTAGACAAGATGTTGAGGTTAAAACTGATCTCTTCCTGAACAGCAGACTCGAGTGAACACAGAAATCACATAAAAAAAACCAATTCTTTCACTTCACTAATGGTTTCAAGAACATTTCCGTTATCTGGGTTTCCCCCACTCCCAGGAATTCTTTAACACCCAACTAGTGATCACTTCAGCATCAGAAATGAATGAAAAAAAAGCAATCCTTCAGTTGTTCACAATAGATCTACTGAAAACTTATTTGTAGTTAAAACAAGCGTGGGATTTCTAAAACTTTTGTATAACTATGTGTTGTTAGTTTGTATCAGTAAAAATAACTAACAGGTACGGCAATATTCTTAGATTTAAATTGTGTAGCAGAAAGATTGTATCCTTCAGAGCCAGTGGACAATTCTGCCTACAGCGACGGGCGGGAGTCTTAGACTGTTTATTTAACAGGTCTCCTGAATAATCTTGGACAAGTCACTTGATTAGTCTTTGTTCTTTGTTTCCAGCTGCAGATTGGGTTTCTGCTAGAACTTGCCAGCTCCTTTTGCAGGAATAGCTGCTATTGCAACAGTTCTTCATTTCTTAAAGCAATTAATTATCTCTGGCTGTTGCATTCAGCTCTTCTGGCAAAATGCAATCTTTTCTCCTTCATTATACGCAGCTCATCATTAAGGTCCAGTTTAAACAGATTGTTATCTCTACTCTGCTGCTTTTCAGTCACACATTGTTAAGAAAAGGAAGCAAACTGAGTTTGAAATCCCCTGTACCTGGTACATTGTGCAGTACCAAATATTCAATCATGTGCTCCCTGGACTAGCAGTAATAATTTGCTAGACAAAAGCAAGGCATGAGTCGCTGCTGTGGTAGAAAAGATATTTATTAACACATTTCAAGATTAAATAGGTTTATTTGCTAGCAGATCAGGAAGAGAAAAAAAAAATTTCATATAGATGATTCTACCACTTAAAATTAACCCACTGTGATCTCTTATGAGATCCAAGAGACAGGGAAATGCATCAGAAGCCACACAGCAGAAACTGAGTTAGGATACCTTAACCAAACAGACTATTGCTTTTCTGAAGCAAAAATATAAATGCAATAGAGTACTTCACTATCAAAACTCAGCATCTTGAACTGCACATGCTGAGCACAGCTAAAATGATTTTGAGAAATATAAAAAGGTATGCAATAGGCTGTTTTCTCATTTCTGTTGTGTGCATGGTTCTGAATGCCATCTGTCTGTTAGTGTAATGTCTTTCTCTCCTTAGTGTTAAACATTTCTGTTCTGCAAGGGGTTTAAGACCACTTTCACTACTGGGAACTACAGACCACCAGCAGCTAATCCCAGTGGCCATGAAGTTTGCTTCAGATGCAGAACACCAACAATTTTCTCCGAAAAGCACAATCTCTACGATTACACGCTAAGCATCAAATTCAATCACAATTTCAGAAAGAAGCCATCAGGTTATAAGTGCTTTTGGGTGGAACACTGTGTCCAAAGCTGTTAGCATCTACCAAAGGTTCAAGTTCGTGGATTTTCTTTTGCCTTTGTACAAAGCTGCAACACTAAGAGATCACCTTCAAACTGTTATGGATGCAGACCTTCACAGAAAAAAAGGAATATAAGCCACTGCCTCCATTTTCATATACTGACCTTGAACAATTCAGATATTTAGCTCAATTGTCTGTGCTTCCCCACTGCCATCCTAAGAATGAAATAATTCTGAAGTGGCCTTGAAACTCAAAAATAATTAGGTTATACATCTAGCTAATAAGATTGACATATGCAGCAGGAAAACACCCATTTCATTCCATCTGGGGATGTTGGGCTAAGCGAATACAAGTTTAAGTTACAGGGATGCAGGACAAAGAAAAAACACTCCTTGCCTAAAGGCTCACTTAACTCGCAGCTACCCTCGGTGGCAGGATTAAATACTTGACTACAAGAAGTATCTATATAAAACCACATAGCCCACAAGTGAAAGAACTGTCGTTGCTACTGACAATGCTCTGCTCCTGACTTCAAAACCTGTTACATTTTTAGAAACACACAGTAAAACACCAACAAACTTGGGCTTGGAAGAACCCTCAACTCAAACTGATACATACAGACACACCCAGAGCCTCCTAAAAACTTACAGTTGCAGGTCTGAGTCACAACTGATTTGAACAAACCAAAGGTATACCCACCTGCACCCAGACATTAACAAGGTGACTTTTGCTGACAAGAAATATGACGGCATTTGCAAAGGAAAACCTTCTCTCTGTATAGTACACAACATGAGGGCCAAACACACATTCTAATTTTGCTCCATCCTCCCTGTATCATCAGCACCAAGAGATCTACACCACACACCAGGCTCTGGGGTCCTGTTACCATCTTATTGCAAAGTTTCATACCTCCTTGGTGATTTCTCGTGGGCAGCTCCTCACTGCACTGACTCCTTCTTCTTCTTCCCAGCACAGCCAACAAACTCCATCCAACTTCTGGACCAGCCAACCTACTCTTTTACTATACCCATCCTAATTGGATCCAGATGTGGCCTATTAAGGGCACGCCTGTTCCTAATGCTTGATAATTAGCACAGCTGTAACTCCTTAGGGGTGAGATTACCTTCATCACTATCTCTATTTTCCTACATTCCATCTATCCACAGGGTCCGACTGGACCAGCCTGCCTAGTGACCGCAGGAGCTGTGACAGGAACATGTGGAAACAAGCAAGGAAGATACAACAGCATGGTCATGTTACAGTGCTGGAGGTGGAATTAAACTTGGGGAAGTCACAGAAAATCACACACTACAGAGATTCTGCACAAAACTTAATTCACAAAAGGCAGCTTTCTTATAGCATTTTTGTCACTTTTAGGATTTAACTTTTACACTGTTGCTTAAAAAAGAGCATAACTACTTACTGCCACTTGTGCTGAATCCATGAACCTTAATCCAAAGTAGTCGCTTTCGATAAGGTCCAGATGATACATGATTTGCTCAAACAGCAGCTGGCCTTTGGCTTTTTTCTGAAAAGATAACAGGACTTAGTACACAGCAGGTAGATTTATTGTAGCATCTACCTTTTTCTCTGCACACGTTATATTCTAATTCCAAAAATTTAGTTTCTGGAAATACAATGTGGACACCTTTTTTCACCCCCTTGTATTTTCTGATGGCTTCTTTTCTCAAAGGCAAATGTACACCCCACAAGAAACACAGAATATCCATAAAGAACTTGCATAATCTCCTTTATTGGAAAATGTCAACACTGACTTGCCAACAGAGTGTTAAAATGCCATTTTATCATTTTTCCTTTTATGCTTTTCTTACTCACTGATTTTCAATAGAACTGGAAACACAGCCAGTACAATTGCAATAACCAATGTACTGGAAAACTTCAGGAGCCAAGTACAGCAAATTGCTTATGAATTTACTACTGTTTGGTATCTAGGTGTTTCACCAGTTTAGAAGCAGGTAGCAAAACCTATTGAATTAGGAGATAAGATTCCATTAGCAAGTGCTTTTAACAACTACTAGGAAACAATCTGGGACAAGCAACTTGAATAAATAGCACTTAGAAATCGCATTTACAAAACTAAGTTCATAAAACTAACTTCTAGGTGCAAAAAGCCAGCTCATATGCTCACACATAATTTATGAAAAAAACAGCTCTAGCCCCAAGGAAACATCATTTTTACAGTGATGATCTAAAAAAATTAAACAGATGTTTTTAAAGAGAAGGCACAATAATAGCACTAAGAAGTTTCTACACAACATATAGTCTTCATGCTATAAGCTCCTTTATAACAATAAACAGAAATAATAGTTTAAGAGTTATTATACCTAAGATGCTTAAATGTAATAAAACACATTAATTATTAGATCAGAGTAAAGATCACAGTGTTAAAAAATTAAATGCAAAGAAATGCAGACATTATTTATGCTTACTCTGCCAGCAGCTGAAGGGTTTCTCTATTTCTGTAAAACCACCATCTTGCAATATTTTACCTCAATATTTATACACTCACAACATGAGAAATGGGATAACTTTCTAAGCACATATTTAGCAAGCTAGTAATTAGCAAATTTAGTACAGCACTCAAAATTCTGGGCCAGCCAAATTTTTGTTCTCAGAAATAATCTTGTTTAATCAGTGAGTAATACCTAAGTAAGTAAAATTGCATGCTGTAATTCTTGTCACCTTCCTCTACCCAGCTCTTCAAATATTTTATATTCAACTTTGCAATCACCATCATTGGTTTACTCAATGTATCAGTTAAATCCAACACAACCTATCACAGCTCAAAGCAAAGTCTTAAAAATAGTTTGTAAACAGAGCCTGTCTAAGCAAATTCTCACACAGTTATTTCTTTCCAGGTACTGGGGAGAATAGCAGGATTGGAAGGCATTTGGGCCAGCAGACAACTTCACAAACACACAGCATCTACAAACCACTGTATAATACTAAATGTTAACCTCATCAAATTCATTCAGACAAATTGTTTTCTGTTGGTCTCAGGAAAAAATTTCTCAAGCAATAACGATTTAGTAAACACCAGCTCAAACAGAAACCTTAAGGCAAACCATCTATACATACAAACCCATACTTGTCTTTCATTCTGTAGCCTCAGTCTCGAAAGACCAAGGCATTGAACTGTTGGTATTTTTTCTCAACACAGGATATCTTCTACTTAAATATTAATATAATAATACAAGTGAAATAAATTCAGCACTTGCAACAGCAAAAACTAGAAAAACACTATGTTGCATGAAGCTTTTGGTAGCTTGTCTAAGACTAGTGGAAAATCTCCCCTTATTGAGCAGAACATTTGTGATCCTTCTCAATTCCTCTGTAGGTCATCTTTAAAAAGTGCAATTAACCAGTTATCTCAGGCAAATTCCCTGCTGGTGACAGAAGCACTTTAGCTCCAGCCTGGAATACTACACATACCACTTCAGACTACCCACGAGCAAAACTCCAATTTCTGCAGTGTCAGATTAGCTTCAGAATGTGTTTGCCATTTCAGAAATCTCAGCAGAGGACTTAAAGATTAACTGGACCCCGAATGACTAATGTGGAATGAAGTCCCTGAAGAAGCAGTGGAGCAGCAGTGGAAAGATCTGCAGGACTTCTGGTTGTTCTCTGACTTAAATCACCAGGGCTGTCAACATGGAATTAATTATGTACTACTTTGCATATGACTTAAATCATCAGCAGCTGTATTTGGTGCAAGTCAGCAGTAGTTTCACACACGCTTTACTTTACTGAAGTCCTTCCTCCTTAAACAAATGGCAACCAAAAATATTAATGTTTTGTAACCAGTCAACTTTTATGAATCAAAATTAATTTCTCTGTAGTCAATAAAATTGAGATCTCAAGAATTTTCAAAGAGCAAAGATATACTTTTATTACATTTTCTTGCAAAAAATTGCCCTAATTTTCTCATGGCAACATTGGTGCTAATAACATCAAGGTGTGGGTTCAATCCCAGTATGGGCCATTAAGAGCCAGACTCAATGATCCTTGTGGGTTCCTTCCAATTCGGAATATTCTGTGATTCTGTCAAAGTGACATTTTTATCCTGCTGCTGTCCTATGCTTTTTCCTCCCCATCTCCTTTCTTTCCCTTACAGAAGGGCTCAGGTTACACTCAAAGGACAAATATTTTCCAACTGTTTAATGGTTACTGATGAACTATTAACAACACCACTCACAAGCAGTCCAGTCAGTGGCTGGTCCTCCCTTCAGGGCACAAATTAAACTTCTCATGGGTTTGCAATTCAGTAAAACCTGACTACTTGATTTACAGAGTTTGCTCTTCTCTCTAGGAAGCAACAGCAAACGTCTCACAGCAGGAGAATGAACGACAGGAAAACGTAAACAAAATACACCATATATATAGGGCAGGACCTCTCCTGGTTTTGCCACACTGGATAAAAGCATCTTCTGATCACTTGGGAATGAATGACATGGCCCCCGCCCCCTCCCCCCAATGAAAGGGATGCTCCCAACTAATGACATCTCCTGCTGCTCTTAATAACTGCAATTGCTGGCTGAGTAGGTGTTCCAAAGGCTGGGCTTAGCCCGGCAGCTCAGCAACAAGGCACGGTGTTCACCTCGGCGCGCTGGCTCGTCCCTTCACTGCCGGGTAAGGCGATCCCGGCACATTCTCCTCGGCTCAGGCATCTCAGCCACTGCCTAAAACCGGAAAGGCAGCATTTATACCCTCTTCTCATGGTCTCGGAGTATCGGCTATTTCAGGGACACGCATCCATGAGGATAAGCCAGCCAGGTGCTCCAAACCTGCCTGATATCAAACCCACCTTCAGCACCAGCACCGGAGAAGCAGCACAAGCTCACAGGAACTGGAGAGGAGCTTGTGCACCAGCTGAATGGCTCACTTCCAGTTTTCAATCACACCGAAGTAGTTCTATTTTTCCCAAAACTTGAAAAACAATGCCAAGATGAAAATACCCACCGACTATATCTACTAATTAAAATATTTATCAGAAAATAATCTCTCCTGTTTATTTCTTTCTTTGTGAAGACATGGAGGGCCTTATGCAAGAAGAACTTGGAAAAAAAATTAATGAATAGGCGTGTTACCTTCATGGGACTTATTATCCCTTGCATCTTTGCAGCTGCACTTTTTGTTTAGATTTCTTAAAATGATCACGTTAATATTTTAATTAACAATAACTAACAGTAGCTATTGTCTTCAATATCCACCAAGTGGCAAAAACTTCCCTTCCTGGCTTTTGTCAGCTTATCAGGAGGGTTACCATTCATATGCACACGAGCTTCCTTAGAAATATCCACATCATTTACACAGACACACACACAGAGAAGGTATGGGTCCCTGCTCAGGGTTTACAGCTACCCAGTTGCTAGGATGTCACCTATGCATGTTTGCAGACCACAGCAGCACAGAAGCAGCAGATGAGCCTGCCCATTTTTTAAATGAAGTAAATCCTCTTCTCTGAAACCACAGGTTTCAAATAACCAAGCCGTGAGAAAGCTTCAACAGTGACCTTTAAAGGAAAATTATTTAATTTCAATATCATGCAAAAGGTGTCTATAGTTAACACCATTAAAGTTTGGCAGAATTGGAGGGTTAAAACCCCTTATTGTTGCAAAGGCAGTGTTAGAAGTACACGTTACTTGTATCATCCTGATCTTCTTAGGGCTTTAAGTACTGACCTACAAATGGAGCTGCTCCTCTCTTCAAACACCAAGCACCACTCCTACAAATAACTTTTCCAAACTCTCCAGTCAATTTTCTCGTTCATTTAAAGATGCCACTGGCAGCAAAATGCTAGTTATTCTAGTGCTTCTCTCTCTGGTTTATCCCCAGTTTTTGACAACACTGCTGTACACACTTGTGAATTTAAAACCCTGCCGCCTGGAATGCTGGGGAGAATTTCTATCTCCAAAGACACAGCTTATCAATTCTATTTACTCAGTGTCTCACAAGTACAGGAAGGTAAGCATTTGGGATTAAATATTTTGTTATTTTGTTCTCTGGAGAAAGAAGGCATTTCCCAAAAATCTTAATAATGAAGAAATTATTTCAATACCCATCTTAATTGTACATCCACTAGAGTGCTATGTAGAAGGATTTTAATGTACTGTGCTCGAGCTTACTGACCCTATTACATAAGGCAAAAACTCAAAACATTCATATCTGACAGTCTGTTTTGTGGAAGTCTGTTTCAACTTCCTGAAAATTATCTTCTAACTACCAATTTGATTTAATCAACTTTTTAATTCTTTCTGATACAGAATATATCCAAATTACTTGTTCAGCATTAAGGTTTACAGATTAAATGCCTCCCCCCATTGTAACTGTCAAACATTTCAGTTTTATTTGGTGTTCCACCTGCAGGTTTCTCACGAGCACTCTGATTAAGAGCACCAGAGAGTCCCACGCCTTTGAGCTCTCTGCAGAGGCAGCTCAGCAGGAAAGCAGGACTTCAGATGAAATTTGCTGTGAGTTAAGAACGTTAAACTTTCAGGCAACTAAACC